CAAACCCAACCCCTGTTAGCATTAGCACTAACCAATTTTCTATGTTTAAAATCATTGAGATTTAAAATAGAATTGCGAGCACAGCAAATGCTTTTAAATTACAAAAGCCAATAATCGGTTGATATATTTACTTGAATCATGATTCATATTTATCTGAAAATGTTCGATATTCATTTTCTTTTATTGTTTTGCTTATAAAAAGGACATAGGTTAATTAGATAATATGGTTGAATTTTATTTTTAAATTGTTAATTTCATTTATAATCGTTACATTTATAGATGTAAATAAATTTGTTATGGACATTCATTTATATTAAAATTTATTATAGTATCTCTTTTACTTTGACTGCTTTATATTCTGTATTTTTTTTAGAATCTTAACAAGATTTTCAGTTTCATCCTCTTTGATTTAAATAATCTTGTTTAATTTATGAATTTTTATTTATTTCCTTATTGATCAGCGTACTATATATATCACTTCAAGGTAATCCTAAGCGTGGGTAAATGGAACGCTATATCTAGGTTTAGTTATGAGTACAAGTCTTAGGTGGATTAAAAGATAGATTTATAATGGGATTTTTAGAAAATTAAATTTTTATTGATATATTATTCGAAATATTCTTATTTTAGAATAATATTTTAATGATTTACCATCTTTTATCTTATTAATAATTCACAATGTAAAAGAAAATTAACATAAATAAAATAATATTGAAGTTGCAAGTGAATTAATGAAAGTTTCAGTAAGAATGTGGGCAATAAAAGGATGATGAAGTTATAGATTATAAAAATACTTATTTACAATTAATGAATTTATTTTATATACTCTATATTTCATTACTACTTATGGTATTGATGCAACTCTATTAACAATAATTATGATCCTGCCATAGATTTATCTCTTAAATAAAGGGATATTTGATAGAACAAAATATCTAATATTGAAACAACTGATAACTGTAAATTTATTATTAACATTAATAAGAAAATGTTGAATAAAAAGAAAATATTATCTAAGTATAAGCAGATTATTTAAGAAAAATAAAAGATTTGAAAGTTAAATGACATTCTTCTTCTTATGATTTCTTATTAACTAAATTGCTTTTAAAGATGATTAAAATTATAAATTTAAAATAATAAGTTACTAAATGCTATTACATTAATTAAATAGAAAATATTTGAAAATGATGGATAAGAATCTATACGAAGATATTAAATAATCTATAAACTATAGAAAAAACTTTTCCTAATTAAAATGAGTGTAATCAGAATTTATAATTTAGATGAATGCAAATATTTTAAATCAAATTTCCTAATTTTCTTGATTAAGAAAATTTAACAACTGTAATTCCCTAAAGCAACTGCTTAAATGGATTATTTGGAAAATATTATATACTTAACTACCAATATTTGAATAAGTTTAATCTTCAAATTTGTCTTGGAAAATTATTAAAAATTCATGTTTTAACAATTCTTATTAACTTTAAAAAAATTTTTATCTTAAAGAAGGAATTAATTTTTATTTTATAAATTTTTATACTCTGATGAATCTACTTCTAACCAACTCTAACTACAATTAAATCATTTCAGGAATTAATTAATTAAATTTTTCTTTCCGACCTTCTGTTACTACTAAAAAATTTGGATTTCTGTTACACTCAAAAATCCAAAGTTATAAATTTTAATCTAAAATAAAATCGACTCCAAAAAATTCTCCCACCCTGCTATCAATAAAAAGCTTATTTCGAGCAGAATTAAATAAATGAAATAATTTTATTTAAATTTAAGGCATGAGATGAATATGCAACCAATTTTTTGATTTAATAAAACCCTCTTCAATTAATAATTCTTGTAACTCCTCTAAATTCCAATCAATATAAAAATCATCGTCTTATTATTTAGTTTCTTCTTTATGAGATTTTGTAATTGCTGTATTACAAACATGAGCCTCTTTCGAAAAATCTGATAAATTAAACTTTAATGCACATTGTTTGATAAGAGCCTTTTTATATCCAAAAAGTATAGGAGGATTTGTTGAGGCTATTTAAAAATAACATCGAAATTCCATTTTATGTCCCTGATATATTTATAAGTTTTTTTACCTTGTACAAATAAGGATTCTTTAAGTATTCCTGAATGATAACTTTTTAATTATTTTTACCACAAAAAGATCCATTGTTATACTACTTTCTGATTAACTATTCATTTTCTTTATCAACAAGTAAAACTCCTTTTCCCAAATGTTAATTAGTTTTATAAATAAATTATAGTCCTTCTGATTTAAATTTATTTTGATATTCAGGCGAATCAAGGATTGAGAAAAATAACTTACAATCAGTTTCATCAGTCATTATATAGGATTTTTTAGAAAATGTTGCTTCATTTTAACATTCTGTAGATGCATTTACATGATTGAGCTGAATTAAATAATTTCTTAAATTTAAGGATTAGAGGGATTTTAAAGCCAATTCATCTTAACCAGGTACATGCATATATTTTTAAAACAAACATCCTGCTTCCTTTCCAAAAAAATGAGTTCTTAAGTAAGTTTTGGAATAAAGGTATAACACTGTTGTTCTCTAAATTACAATTAAAAAGCAATACTAAATCAAGTTGTATATATTATTCTTGTTCAAGAGGAGTATTTTGAGTAAAGTTAGGGTTAGCATCAAATAACTGTTTTCTTATAATTGATCTTGCTAAATCATTTCCTCCATAATCTCTAAAAATGTAGCTATCCTCTAAAACTACTTTTGGATGTAAAATTTTATAAAGATCACTTTTCAAACAATATATTGGATTCTTTTGAATAGCAAGTTCGTATCCACAATTTCTAAAATTAAATTATTCTTACATACAAGGTTAAAACAATGATCCACTGGTATCAGTTTCCTGCTCAACCCATTTTTAGACAATTTTAATTGCAGTCATGTATTCAATAATCTATAAATTGTACGATTAAACAAGCAATTAATATGTTATGAGTTATAATAACAAAAGTATCAGAGAGGCAAAGAAAAACAAAATTTATTAAATCATATAGAAAAAATAAAAATATTATAAGAAATACATTCGATGAGATATCAATATATTTATTTATTCAACCCCCTCTTCTTTTAATATAGTGGAACCAATTATCAATTTATCTCCAGGTATCATTTAAAGAAATAATAATTTCTTATTTAAATTTAGCTGTTGCCTCTTAATCTGAGATATTCAAAGCCAATTAATCTTCAATATATTTAACATTTGATGCTTATTATAACTCTGGCATTCCAGCTGAAAGATTCATTAAGAAAATATTAATTAAAAAATGCCCATGCTTTCTGACTAAGTTGTAAGCATTTGTACAGTCTTGCTGAAATTTTTTAAAAAGATCACCATCTCTACCACCCATTACAAATGCCATCTAGAATATAAATTTATTAATACTTCTTCTGTTAATACAAATTTAGTTCTTTCTCTTTTGATTCCAAATTTCTATTTGAAATTTCCTAGAAAATGGCCAAAATCAATGTGAAACAAGTGACCGGTGTCTGTAATCATAATATTTCCTGAATGTCTATCACCAATTCCTAAAACATAAGTAGCTACACAATAACCAGCACAAGATCGTAAAAAATTATCAGTTGCTGTTTCAAATGATTATGGTTCAGTATTTTTAGTTTTTAAGTGATTCCAAATAGTTTTTTATTAAAAGGCTCCCATTACACCTGCATCTCCATGAATTTTCTCAATTGTTAAACTATTTGTAACAACTTCAATCATACCAACATTATCTTATGTTGAAATTGTTTTATAAGGTTTCATTCTAAAATCTAATCCTGCATCTAACCAAATTTTATCCATTATTTTTATTAATTATAATGTCAACATATCTTATCTAATATCATCGCCAGTTTTAAACATTATTTTTAAAAGTGTTGTTTATTTTGAGTTATTATTTTATTAATCATTAGTATGATCTTTGGCATCTTTTCCTTATTTAACATCTTCAGATATCATATTTATTTAAATAAAACCATCTTCACTTGCTTTGACAATCTTTTAGGGTTAGGCTATCAATAAATCTTCATCGTCTTCAATGCATTAAGGAATTACTGATAACCATAAAGGCATTTTTTTAGAATCCATTACTTTACATTCACTCATTTGGAATTATTAAGCTTCCATTCTTGAATCTAATGCAAATGAAAATGGTTTTGGTAGTTTAGGGTATAGTTAATGTAATTCAGCTTGTAAAAATGAAACCCTATTATCTTTTGGAATATTTTCCTCTTTAACTTTTTATGCAATATTATAAAGTTCATTGTCAACTAAGACTTCATTCATTAATTATTATCTGAATTCACCACAAAGCATTAGTAATTGTTCTAATAAAAGAGAATATCTTTCATAAGATGGTCTTACATGTAATTATGCTTTAAGCAACCAAAATAACTCATGACCAACAACCCAAGGATTTTAAAGACTTCTTTCTAATAACATCTCTGCTAATGGATTGAAAAGATGTTTCTCAAACATTAAGCATTAAGTTAATTCTAACATATATAATTACAGTTCATCATCAGATAAAATGCTGACTCTCTCTACAGCATACAATCTAACAGTTTCATCAGCAAATGGAGCATCTAATAATGGTAGTGCATCTTCAGGAGGTAAAGGAGTCCATAATTTTATCATATTATGGGCTTCCCTAACTTATTCAGGATCATCCCATTCTATTGCCATCAAAAATATTTAAAGAGCGTAAGGCAATGTCTTATAATGATTTCTACATATCATCAAAATATATTTATGCTAATCTGTGAAATATGGTCTATTTAGTGGATTATATTTTAGTAAAGCCTACAATATAGCTAAATCTTCAGTTCGTGGAGTTGTTGACCAATTTTTAAAAGTGAAAATTTAGTTGTAACTTTCACTAACTGGTTAATTTTATTATATATTTTATGATGAAAATTAATGGCTAAGTTTATATGAACTAAATTGTGAGCTTGATTATTCATGAATATTGAAAGAACTACCTTATCCCATATGCATAACTGAAGGAGCTATATGTGTGTTTCTTTCATTAAACTCTCCAAATCTCAATAAGGTTCCTTATTCTTATGATGTAAATCCAACTTATGCATATNTTGCTGTTTCAAATGATTATGGTTCAGTATTTTTAGTTTTTAAGTGATTCCAAATAGTTTTTTATTAAAAGGCTCCCATTACACCTGCATCTCCATGAATTTTCTCAATTGTTAAACTATTTGTAACAACTTCAATCATACCAACATTATCTTATGTTGAAATTGTTTTATAAGGTTTCATTCTAAAATCTAATCCTGCATCTAACCAAATTTTATCCATTATTTTTATTAATTATAATGTCAACATATCTTATCTAATATCATCGCCAGTTTTAAACATTATTTTTAAAAGTGTTGTTTATTTTGAGTTATTATTTTATTAATCATTAGTATGATCTTTGGCATCTTTTCCTTATTTAACATCTTCAGATATCATATTTATTTAAATAAAACCATCTTCACTTGCTTTGACAATCTTTTAGGGTTAGGCTATCAATAAATCTTCATCGTCTTCAATGCATTAAGGAATTACTGATAACCATAAAGGCATTTTTTTAGAATCCATTACTTTACATTCACTCATTTGGAATTATTAAGCTTCCATTCTTGAATCTAATGCAAATGAAAATGGTTTTGGTAGTTTAGGGTATAGTTAATGTAATTCAGCTTGTAAAAATGAAACCCTATTATCTTTTGGAATATTTTCCTCTTTAACTTTTTATGCAATATTATAAAGTTCATTGTCAACTAAGACTTCATTCATTAATTATTATCTGAATTCACCACAAAGCATTAGTAATTGTTCTAATAAAAGAGAATATCTTTCATAAGATGGTCTTACATGTAATTATGCTTTAAGCAACCAAAATAACTCATGACCAACAACCCAAGGATTTTAAAGACTTCTTTCTAATAACATCTCTGCTAATGGATTGAAAAGATGTTTCTCAAACATTAAGCATTAAGTTAATTCTAACATATATAATTACAGTTCATCATCAGATAAAATGCTGACTCTCTCTACAGCATACAATCTAACAGTTTCATCAGCAAATGGAGCATCTAATAATGGTAGTGCATCTTCAGGAGGTAAAGGAGTCCATAATTTTATCATATTATGGGCTTCCCTAACTTATTCAGGATCATCCCATTCTATTGCCATCAAAAATATTTAAAGAGCGTAAGGCAATGTCTTATAATGATTTCTACATATCATCAAAATATATTTATGCTAATCTGTGAAATATGGTCTATTTAGTGGATTATATTTTAGTAAAGCCTACAATATAGCTAAATCTTCAGTTCGTGGAGTTGTTGACCAATTTTTAAAAGTGAAAATTTAGTTGTAACTTTCACTAACTGGTTAATTTTATTATATATTTTATGATGAAAATTAATGGCTAAGTTTATATGAACTAAATTGTGAGCTTGATTATTCATGAATATTGAAAGAACTACCTTATCCCATATGCATAACTGAAGGAGCTATATGTGTGTTTCTTTCATTAAACTCTCCAAATCTCAATAAGGTTCCTTATTCTTATGATGTAAATCCAACTTATGCATATTATTCATAAGGATTTGTATGTTGTCGTTAATGAATGGTATTTGTTGCATAAAAAGTATTTCCTCCAACTGGTCCTCTTTGTTTTTTATTAAAAAAATGGGATCCACCACTAAAACTATTAGCAGAACTAGAAGAGTTAGCTGTAGTTGAATAATTACTTTAATATAGAGTTCCAAATTATTCAGAAGCTAAAGTTGAAGATTGCATCTATTAATATGTTGAATAATCAGAATTAGGAATAAGAGTGTTTCTCATTTCATAGTATCTTTGACTTCTTGCTGATTTGGAGAATCCAAGTTCTTCTAACTATTTTTCATCTCTCAGACTCCATTTCATAGCTAAATTGAATTTATCCAATTATATAATTAATCTTCCATATGAATTAGTAATTGTATCTGTTATAATTTACGCCTATTNGCTTGTAAAAATGAAACCCTATTATCTTTTGGAATATTTTCCTCTTTAACTTTTTATGCAATATTATAAAGTTCATTGTCAACTAAGACTTCATTCATTAATTATTATCTGAATTCACCACAAAGCATTAGTAATTGTTCTAATAAAAGAGAATATCTTTCATAAGATGGTCTTACATGTAATTATGCTTTAAGCAACCAAAATAACTCATGACCAACAACCCAAGGATTTTAAAGACTTCTTTCTAATAACATCTCTGCTAATGGATTGAAAAGATGTTTCTCAAACATTAAGCATTAAGTTAATTCTAACATATATAATTACAGTTCATCATCAGATAAAATGCTGACTCTCTCTACAGCATACAATCTAACAGTTTCATCAGCAAATGGAGCATCTAATAATGGTAGTGCATCTTCAGGAGGTAAAGGAGTCCATAATTTTATCATATTATGGGCTTCCCTAACTTATTCAGGATCATCCCATTCTATTGCCATCAAAAATATTTAAAGAGCGTAAGGCAATGTCTTATAATGATTTCTACATATCATCAAAATATATTTATGCTAATCTGTGAAATATGGTCTATTTAGTGGATTATATTTTAGTAAAGCCTACAATATAGCTAAATCTTCAGTTCGTGGAGTTGTTGACCAATTTTTAAAAGTGAAAATTTAGTTGTAACTTTCACTAACTGGTTAATTTTATTATATATTTTATGATGAAAATTAATGGCTAAGTTTATATGAACTAAATTGTGAGCTTGATTATTCATGAATATTGAAAGAACTACCTTATCCCATATGCATAACTGAAGGAGCTATATGTGTGTTTCTTTCATTAAACTCTCCAAATCTCAATAAGGTTCCTTATTCTTATGATGTAAATCCAACTTATGCATATTATTCATAAGGATTTGTATGTTGTCGTTAATGAATGGTATTTGTTGCATAAAAAGTATTTCCTCCAACTGGTCCTCTTTGTTTTTTATTAAAAAAATGGGATCCACCACTAAAACTATTAGCAGAACTAGAAGAGTTAGCTGTAGTTGAATAATTACTTTAATATAGAGTTCCAAATTATTCAGAAGCTAAAGTTGAAGATTGCATCTATTAATATGTTGAATAATCAGAATTAGGAATAAGAGTGTTTCTCATTTCATAGTATCTTTGACTTCTTGCTGATTTGGAGAATCCAAGTTCTTCTAACTATTTTTCATCTCTCAGACTCCATTTCATAGCTAAATTGAATTTATCCAATTATATAATTAATCTTCCATATGAATTAGTAATTGTATCTGTTATAATTTACGCCTATTAAGAATTGGCCCAGCCATAATATTGACCTACACAAAGTAATCTAGGATCAATTTTATAAAAAGGCCATATGTTTAATGAATTCATATGAGCACGGAATCTCTTTTCCTCCGAAAAAATATACATTGTTGTGCAACCTAAAATTTATTATTGTCCTATTGCACTATGGGCAATAATATTAAAACATAATCTTGCTTCTTATGGTAATTGAGATATTTTAATCCCAGGAAACGTTATTGATTAATAAAATTTAGGTGAATGACTAAATGGTTATTTTTTTGTTTCTGCTTAACACCAAGGTGTCAAAAGTTTACATCCATGATATAAACTTACTTAAACAGAAATTAAAAATGGTAAAAAATCAAGTTCATATCTTTCTTAGTATGTCTCTAATTCGTCTAAAAAGTCTTATCCTCCGAATGGAATTTATTTACGAATATCAAGATTTCTGGGATCTAAGACTCTTCCTGTTCTTTTATGCAATTTAAGATGAACTTATCTACCTTTATTTTAATCTCGATCTTCAGGTTTGTTATTTTTCGTTTTGTGAACATCATCCTCAACTTTTGTGCTAGTTTTTTTTGTAATGTATTAAGGAGGGATTAATCCATTATAAGTTGCTCTTAATTATGGTTTTTCGAATTTATTATCCAATTCAAGAGCTTACACTAAATTTTCAATTGAACAAATTCTAACACTAAATGGCCAATCACACTCACCTGAATAAAGTACATTTTAATCTATTTATAATATATTTTATTTTGATAATTCGTTCCTCATCGAAAACAAATCATTTATAGATCCAATTCCTTTTTTATTTGATAAATCTTAGAAAGATGATTTTTATGGATTATCCCCTACTGATTATCTTTTTATTTTTTCACTATTCTCCAAGTTAGAAATATTTTCTTAACTAGCTCCTTTTATTTTTTCTGATTTAACTTACAAAGCTGCTCCTAATCCAAAAGATAATCTTGTATTGATTATTTCCTATTCATATTTAGGTAAAGGTAAAGGTGCATACCATAATAATATAGGAACATCTCTAAATTTTTTCCATTCAATTTGAGGGTGTTATTCTGCTCCTTTTATTCTTTAAACAATTGGAGGAAATAAAGATGATTAATCAGTTTATTTTGGAACTTCTGTAAGAATAACCTCCAAATGCTTCATTCCTCTCAATTATACTCTCACTCTATCATATGATAACATAGGATAATTGCCAGTCAAAAACTCCTTAAATCCAGCTATTTACAATATAAATTAGTTTTTATCTTCTTTTGGTTTTAATTTAACTTTAAATCTCTAATAGACTTCCCTTAAAACATTTTTAATAACTTCATCAGCACCAGTTACTAATCCTGCTTCTATTTCAACAATATTAGGCTTTTCTAATAATTACAGTTCTGGTGACATATTAACAAATAACTCTTTATACTGATTCAATTTAACTTAGAGTTTGATTGAATTGACTTTAACAAAAGCTTAACTTAAAGTAGATTAACAAAGATAAGTTGGAATAGAAGAAGATTATTTGTGTAGCAAATAAGATGGAATTTTTCTTCTGCGATATTACTCAATCTATTTAGATGCCATACGCCAAGTACCTAAATAAAATTTACTTTCTTACCTGATTTTAGCTTAAGCATTTATTCTATTTATTATATAGCTTGTATAGCCTTTTATCTATATTCTTAATCAACTTCATATTCAATTTTGAAATCATTTGTATTTATATTCAGAGTGTAAATTTAGCAACTATCAGGATCAGCACATATTAACCATCTCTCTTCTATAAATTTATTATCCATTATTGTCAAAAAAATAAATAATTAAATTGTCCGAAACTTTTAAACATTATTATGATTACTGTTTATTTATAAAATAATAGATTATGCTATTGTATAGATATAAAATTATTAAGATCATTCTTTTCTTGTTTATGTTTCAATTTCATATAATTTAATCAGACTTTCAAACAATTTCTTTGTAAATCTTGCTGATGGAGAAATATCTGCTTTCCTTTCTTTATACAATACATACCTCCATATCCTCATTCTTAAAGTCCAAATTATTTTACAATTCTTTCAATGTTATATAATAGTTACTTGTTTTGCAATGTTAGGGAATTTTCCAAGAATTGATTATATTTTACTTGTTCCTATATTAATTGAAAATTGTGCAATAACACCATAGACTAAATGTTCTGTATATTCTAATCCACTTTATTCTATTCCTTTTAATAGATCATGTAATGATTTATCAATTTTCTCAAATCATTACCTAAAACTATTTAATTGATTCTTAATAATCTTCTTCATCTACCCAAATCAATTTAGCTTATTTTCATTAAGCCAAACTCTTATTCCATATGGCCAATCAGATACAACTTCAGAAGCTGTTACTTAATTATCTGTTGTGTCATATCATTAAATAAGAAATTTTTATGCATTAAATCATCAACTATGTTAAACTATAATTTTTCCTGAAATCCCAAATGATTCAAATACCTCTAGCATTTTACTTTCAAATTTTAATCTATCATCTTTGTCCATTGAAGAAGGGAGATTCCAACCTTTTACATTACTTGCTATTCTTACTCTAATTAGTAACTTTTCTAAAGTTCGATTTATTTTAGTCAAAAACGTATTCATCAATCTTTATTGATATTATTGAGGTCACGATTTTGCTTTTTTAATAATTTCTGTAAACTCACCTTAATAAATTTTAGTTGATCCCATATTGCTTGAATTTTACAAAATTTACATTCTCTTCACCATCTAGGTGAGTTTACGAGCATCTTTCTTAAAAACCATTATTGTTACATGTTAATCTAATCTCTTAAAATTTGGATATTTTTCTGGATAAATTAGATTATATTGCATTATTTATGAGATCTACAATTTAGATAAATTAATTTTCCTTAAATATTTTACTTGAAATTTTAAAGCTTATACCCATTTATGAGAATCGAAAGAGATCTTGTTTTGTCAAACTGCTATCAGAAGTAAAATTTTTTTTAATTTTTTGTTGTTGTAAGTAAATAGTTTACATATTAATTTTTGCATTTGCTTATCAGATCTGAGCTTTGAATTTAGAAAAATAATTTTAAGTATATGAAAACAGATAAACTAGAAAGATTAAAGAAACGTTGAAAAAAAAAATTTATGAAATCTTAATGATTGAGAATAAAATAAAGCTTTTAAAAATCCTAATGGCAGATTTTTAAAATTTACTTTGCCACAGCAATATCATAATTAATAACTTTAAATACATTTAAATAAATAAATCATTAGCTTTCAAAGTTTTACTTTCCGAATTGAAAACTATTTCTTAAGATTTTTTTTGTCTTTTTCTTCCTTCATCCCAAGATTATTGGATATATCAGTTTATAGCCTTAAAGAAGCAATACTTTTGCGAAATTATTAGCTTTTGGAACTATACAATTCTGAAGGATGAATTTTATTATTAATCATGTCTAAATGATTTCCAGGGCCAAAAAGAAGAAAAGGATGCTATAAAGCTTCTGATGAAGTTAATCTTTGATTAGGAGTTTTTATAAGAATTCTCTATAAAAAATCAAGACAATTTGGAGATAAACTTAATGATGATAAGGCAATATGCCCATACATATTTTCTTCTATTAATCCATCAAGTGTTTTTGATTAATAAGGTTCTTTCCCTGTAAGAATTAAATATAATACTAAACCAAGACTATATACATCAACCTTAAAATCATAAGAATGCCCAAGTAAAATCTCTGGGGCAACATATCCAGGTGTTCCACATTATGTGAATAAATATTCATTTTTATTATTCCAAAAATCAGCCAAACCTAGATCTATTAGACAAGCAGTTTCTAATTTTCCAAATTGATGCAACATAATATTTTAAGGTTTAATATCTCTGTGAAATATACCTTGTTTATGTAATAATTATATTGCCTAAAACAACGGCTTAATTATTAAAATTGATTAAATTTCAGATAAACCTCCTAATTTTAATGAATAAATTAATTCAGATCCGGCTAAAAAATCCATTATTAAAGTAAGATGAATTTTACATTCAAAAACCTCATAAAGTTAACAAATATAAGGACTAGAGAAGAGTCTTGTAATTTATACTTCCTTAGTTATCATTAATAATTCTTGTTCCTCTAAAATTATTTTTTTTTTATAAAATATTTTTGCTGCATATTCTCTATTCGTTGACTTATGCTTGACTAAATAAACCTTAAATTAGATAATTATTTACATCTGCAAATGTACCACTTCCTATTTTTTTAGATATCTAATAAAGTCTAGAAAAATCATTCTAAATAACATATTTTTTCAATCTCTTAATCCATAATTTGCATTCTCCGAAAATCGCCAAACTCCCATCAAATTTTATTAATTTAAAGCCGATTAATTTATTTTCTGAATTATGTATTAGATCCAAGAAACTATTTTCAAAAAGTATAATTTTCTAATAAACTATTTACTTTTTACATTTTTACTATATCTAATATATTTTTCGTAAAGGGTCAATTATTTTATTTTATTTTTGGAATTACAATCAATTTTGAATTTTTGTTAATCTATAGGTATTTTTAGATCATAGTCCTATTGTTTCCATAAAGCTATTCCGTCATTGAAAATTGAATCCTTTTAAAGTAAAATATTACACTAAAAGCTTTAATCATTTCCTTTAAACATTTTTATTAATACATCATAAAGTTAAAAATAGTTCTAATACCTCAATTAAATGATATTAATAATTTATGAAATTTTGATACTTTCACAATTATTAATTTCAGATTCTGACGAATAAAGCAATATTCTTTTTATCATCAATTTTATATCCATTCATAATATGTTTTTTATTTGCTAATTTTTAGTGCATTGTTAGTTTAAGAGAGTTAACCATTGTTAATGAAATAATTATTAAAACTATCATTATTTTGAAACACGAAAATCAAATTTGTGGAATCTATTTTAATAAAATTGCATTTTAAAAAAATAAACAGCTCATGAATAAAAACAATTTACAAGTTTTTCAATCACTAAGTCTTACATTAATTTTTAAACTCTTTTATATTAAAAACAATATAAAATGCACATAGAATTTGATAAGCTCTATCGACTTCAATTAAAATTTTGAATATTGTGAATTAAAAACTTATTCTTTTGTCTAAAAAATGAAAGAAATATAATAAAATTGAAAACCATATTTCCAGCGAAAAATATGAATTATTTTATGAAAAATATTAATTAATTTATTAATTAAAAAGAAAATAAAGCTCTAAAATAACATTTGAAAATTACACATTGTTTAAAATACTATATATATTTTATACATAAATGATTTATAAAAATCAATTAATTGGATCATCTGGAAATTGATAAATAATCTTTTATTTAAATATCAATTTTTCATTGCATTTCTTGCATTCTGGAATTTAACATAGATCACAAAGCAAAGTTAAATGATTATTTTTACAAATAGAGTATGAAGTAATTACTGAATCACAATTATCACAATTGATCTCGCACTAAATATTTTATTCTACATTTATTTCATTAAAAATGTTCAAAATTGGTAACATTTTTTTATCAGGATTACCTGTAAAATATTCTAGAATTTATTTTTGATTAATTGATTTGACTTCTTAAAGGTTCTCTTTTGTTAGATGTATGTTAAAACTTTAAGTACTGGTGCATATGTTTTCGCAATATAAGCATTGTTTAGCTTCAATACATATATCTTTGCATTCATTGCAATATCTTAGATGTCCACAATCAGTAGGAACATACCTAATATTTTCAGTTTTACAAACCCTACATTTTTAACGAAAATCTACTCCATTGCTAACCATATTTTATGATGGAGGACTTGTCAATTTAGGTATTAGTACTACTTTTTATTTTTAAACCTACTGTTTTGTGATATTAATGATTTCCTTATTAAGTATTTTTGCACAAAAAATTGTTACAACAGGGAAATTTTTATTTTTAACAACTAGAAATGGTAAGTTCTTATCAATAATGTGAGATGTGAGATAAAACTATTGTTTTGTAAATCTAAATGTCATTCCAAAAGGCTTTGTTGTTAACTACTTCATCTCATCATATTTATTTCCATTTAATTATCCAAGTATTTTCTTTTTTTCAAGCAGCACTTTTAATTTATAAATTAAAATTAATACTTTCAATTCCAAAAAAAAAAGCCTTTGAATCTGATTTCTAAAATTTATGAATACCACCTTAACCAACATTTACTGGGCAAACTAAATTAGCTGTGACTTCTTTATTTAAAAGTAGATATTTATCTTAACACAATCCAAATAAAAATCCTCCAATTTTTTTATTTAAATTAAATTTAAATTCTATGATATCTCCTTTTTGTGCAAAATTAATTTCTTTTTTAGAAAAATAATCAACAAAATTTGTAATTTATACCTTTTATAAGGCATCCTATTCTTGATACAAAATAGTTTATCCATTTATTATAAATCCATTAACTATGTATGCTATTCCTTCATTCACATTATTATTTTCCATTACTACTAAAATTTAATCCTAGTTTTCAAGGTTCTCAATATTTTTAAAAAAGTTGAAGAAATCATTTTGCATTGGCTGAGTTTAGGTTTTAATTTCTGGAAGAGGAATAGTAAAATTATTTTGCTCTTATTATTCATTTAATTATTCATTATTAAATATTGAATTTACTTCTTGATTTATCCAAGTGTAGAGATTTTAAATTTAAGTATCATTTTTTTAAGTTTCTATTTCATCATACACAAGAAAGACTTATTTATAACTAAACTTAATTTTTAGATGTTTTACTTAAAATATTACAGTAATTTAAGCATCCTAAAATTAAAATTATCCATTGTGAATTATTGAAATTCTAAATCCTATAAAAAGAGTATTGCATATTCAAAAAGTGAAAATTATTTTAAGCATTCAAGTTCATTGTTGAAATTAATTTTTTTGTAAAAAAGATTAATTGTCTTTATTTCATTCTAAAGCTTATTGGTATTTATCCTTTTTAAAAATCTCTAGACTGCTTCTTCACTTTCAGAAATCAAAAGAGCTGTTACTACTTGATATTGCACTTAAATCATAATATTAATTCTTAAATATATAAATTTTATATTTTGAATTTGGTATTAGAAACTCAACCAATAAGATTTAAATCAATTTATATCATTTCCTTTTGATAAAATATAATAATAAATTAAATTCCCTAGTAGAAATCCTGTTCTATAATCTTCAATTGTTGGATTATAATCAGTAATATCCAAACTTACAGAATGTTTTCCTGCCAAATAAATTATTTCAAATATTTCTTCTACACTTAAGCCTTATACACAAGGCCTACTTACTCCAGGACAGAAAGCAGACTATTTTTAAATAGAAATATACATCAATAGCTTCTAAAGAAACTGAAATATGAATTCTTTTTCCTTAAAGATTCTTAAGTATTTAATTGAACATTATTCCAGCTTATGTTATTTAAGATGTTAAATCTTAATGATAAATCTTTTAAACCTATCTTATTTACTATAAACTATATCCACTACATTTTTCATTTATGTAATTTTATTCATCTTAATTTAACTTACTATTATCAAATCCAAAATAGGTTATAGAAATCTTACTTTTTGATGCTCTTAAGCCTGAATTAATACTTGGTTTATTCCCATCATATGGTATTTAAATATCAGGAATATGATTTATTGAAATTACATGTAAATCATCACTAACAACACCAAAAACACAGTCCTTTGATCCACCTATTATTATTGGAGTATGATTCTTATTTTATATAATTTAAACTTTTTAATTCAATTTTTCTAAAAGTTTTTCCAAATTTTAATCATCATCAACATGTATATTTCCATAATCAGAAATAATAAAATTGCTAATATCTTTCATATATTCAGCATTTTTTAAAGGACCTATTCTTGGTAAAAATCTTCTTAAACAATCTGGTCCATGATCCTATCCAATCCTAACATTGTCTCTTTTTGCTCCCAAATGATGAGGAAAACCTATTATAACATAATCTCCATCTATTCCTTCAACAATCTTTAATCTAGGATCGTCTAGCATTTTACTTATTTTTTTATTATTAATAATAATGTTTGAATTTAATAAATTAGAGCATATTTAATTAAGAAAAGACTGCGAACTTCATTAGATATATTAACTAGATTGTAATCTAATTGTAATGCTTATTAATTTTAATACATCCTATTATTTTGATGTAATTTAACTATAAGTCAGCCGTAAATTAATGTAATTAGTTTTATTAAGATTAATTTAGAAAGATTAATTGCATTCCTGTTTTTGCTTTTATTTGCGGCAAATCTAGTATAGGATTGGCTCATTATGAAAATGCAAAACTTACTATTTAATCTTTTGACTTTCTCAATTTAAATCAAAACATATCTAATCTTTTGATTAATAAACCTTATCGAGATTTTCTAACTTTTTATTTTAAAAGAACACAAATTTCGATGCTATTATTTCATTATGAATGTGGTTCTATTATTTCTTACTTTTTGAACAATGATTTGGAAATTTAAAATTAATTTTATCTAATATATCAAGCAGATAATTAAATTCTATAATCAATCTATTAATTAAATTAGAGTGATCAATTTATCTCATTACATTATGATAATAATTAAGAGTATAAATTATTTGAATTCTAATCAAATGGAATAAAAAAATAAATAGAATCAAAGTATTTAAATGATCAAAACTCTTTTAATGGATGTACTTAAACAAATAACTAAATAATATTGGTTTTTACCCCAAAAATTAATACTAATTCATTCATAGAATTTATAAATTAATAATACGAATCAGTAAGAATTGTTGAAATCAATTATTTTAATTATATTATAAGTATAGAATCAATTTTATTTGATACTGAATTTTAAGTTTGGTGTAAAATCTCAACTCAGTAGGAAGTGGAGATTGAATAATTATGTGTATTTGACAAGAATAATTTTTAATTAATCTCTAGGAAGATTTATCCAGATTATATGTTGGATATATAATGCACTGATTTAATAATTATAGAAACTTAAATGAATTTATTTGATAGAATTAATTGTTTACAAAAAAATCATTAAACAAATTCAAATGAAATTGAAGAATTAAAATAATTAGAGGATTTTGATGATTTCTCAGAAATTACTATTTATTATAATTTAAATCCAATTTATTAAACAATAAAACTTATGAAATTTTTTGAATTTGAGGAATACATCATTGAATAAACTATTAAAAAACTTAAAAAACAATCTTCTAATATTCTGAAATAATAAGATATTTGATTTAAATTGATAAATTTGTTTTAATTTATATTAAATACGATTTATCTAACTTTTTAATTTATTATATTAATAAAAGCAATATAAAAAATGGTAAATATAAATTAAAATTAAATTAAAAACATGAACAGAATTATTGATTCAATACAAAAACTAGATATATTTGGAGTGCCTGTAACATTATTAACAAATGAAAATGAACAAAAATTTAAAAGCAAATTTGGAGGATTTCTTTCTCTTATAGCTGGAAGCACAAGTTTGGTTTATTTTTTCTATATAATGATTTTATGGATAAATAATGAGATTTCTCCAAATGTAAGTTCAAAATAGAAAACAACAGGATATTCCGAATTTAAATGGTCTGATCGATTAATTACATTTAATTTATTTGACTTTTCTTCACAAATTGATCCATTTAGAAAAGAAAACAATATAATAACTCCATTATTATTTACAGTTGTTCAAAGCAGAATTGAAGAATAGCCACTTTAATTATTCAGTACAGAGGAGAATCCTGGACAATTTGTTGTTAATGAAGGATCTTTAATTTTAAATAATGCTTTTGATAAGGATGAAATACATTAAGAAATGAGACAATATTTACTTGTATTTGCTACATGCACAGATGATTTCAAGATGGATGGAAAATATTGTGCAGATAATTAAGTTATGGAAGAATATTTAAAAACTGATCATGGATTTTTGTTTTTAACAATTAAGTTACACTAATTGAATTATGTTACAAGAGAACTTGAATCTTTTGAAAAATAATAATATGTTGCTTTTGATCCTTAGGAAACATTATATACTTAAATCATACTTAAATAACAAGAAACCATTATTGATGATGGAATCCTCTTCGAAAAGTTAAAAAAATATTTTTTCCTCAACAATTATGAAATCACAAATTAGCCTATCAATAGTGATTTTATGCCTTCCTAAATTTAGATTTTATCTTAAGGTTAATATAAGTTAAAAGCAATTAACTCTTATTTATTTAGAATTGATAATATTTCAATAGTTGAAAATGTAATCATGCCTAAATTGGGACAAATATTAGCATCTATCGGTTCAATAGTATAATTGATTTTTATTTTATAATATGTTGCTGTGTTATACAATAAGTAATTATTTGAAAATTATTTAACTCATGATATAATAACAATGTATTATCCAGATTTTAAAAGTGTGTAATTAAACTGGTTAAATTAAATAAGTTTTAATGAAAAAGATAATCAAAAATTTAACTATCCGATATAGAATTTAAATTAAGCTTATAAAGCATTATAAAAAGGAGCAAAACAAAAATGCAGATTAAATAATGTATTGTATGAAATATCTAGATTATAATTTGTTTTTCAATAATAATTAGGAAATTCAATATTTTAGGCTTGTCATTCTTTGGGTGGGATCATGTCTAATAATTTATTCGAATCTTTTAGTATGAAAGAAACTAATCGTATGATAGTGTATCCATTTGATTCATTAGAATAAGAATTTAAATAAATTGTTTAGGTAGAACCTTTAGAACTGTTAATTAAACAAAATTGATTTTTATAATATGAATTATCCTACATTAAAAATGGTTGATATTTTTCAAAATATGATTTAAAATAAACTTTCTACTTTTCTTTCATACTATATTATAGAACACTATTTTTTTCAAATAATTAATTGATATAACCTAATAGACTTAAATATTTTCCTTATTTTCCAATTTATAAGCCTTATTTAACAAAAGATTTTAATTTTTTTCAAGTCAACAAATTAAACAATTAATAAAATTTGAAATTTGAAAATATTTTCTTTTTATTATATCTTATTAAATGCTAAATTTTTTGTTTCATGCAAATTTATTTTGAATATTAAATTATTATTAAGTAGTTATTCTAATTTTAATTTCATTGAAAGTTTTACACATATTTTAATTAATAAAATTTGTAAATTATGCTACATTATTGTAAATATAGCGTAAAATAATTTAATTTTTGCAAAATAGAGTCAAAATATTTTAAAAAGCAAAAATACTAATATTGATAATAACTATATTTGTTTATAAAACTAATTTTTTAGGAGAAATAGTTACGAATTAAAAAATATAATGTAAAATTTCAACATATATCTCTGTTTTGTTTAAAAGCAAATACAATATTTGAGAAATATATATATAAATATAAATAATAATTGAAAATAAATTTAAATAAAATCAATCAATAATTTTTGGAAATTCAAATAATATGTAAATAAGTGAACGATAGACACAGCAACTTTTAATGACTGCAACTTTGAAAAATGGATAATTAGAGTTTTATACTTCTGAATAATATGATGAATATTTGATTCCTCCAAATCATGAAATTGCTGAGCAACATTAAGTATTTTAAAATCGATGTTCAGCTAGCAAGTAAAGTAGGTATTCCAAAGCCATACAGAGAAGGAGAAACAGTAAATATTTGTCCCTGTTGCAAATAATAAATTGTATGTTTATAGTATAAATATTTTTAGCACAAAACACAAATTGATTTTTAGAGAGATGAGATGGCTTTCTCTTTTCTTGGATCAGGTTATCCATTGTATTTTAATTTCATAAAATGCTGTCTTATGATTGTTGGAGTTCTGTTCTTAACTTCTGGATAATATTAACTTGTTTCAAATTTAACGAGCAACGATTGCTAAGACTTAGTAATTTAAGTGCAACATAGATATAAAGAAATTTAAAAATAAGATTCTTGGAGTGAATAAGTGCATAATTATTGTTTAAATGATTGGATAGCACGTTCATCATTAGCAAATAAAAGATTTTAATCAATTTTAACTGAGTTACCACATTATTTTAATTTTTCCAGTGTTATCTTTATTTTAATTATTATTTTCTTTTTTAGAAAATCTTAATTAATTATAGATAATGATTGTGATATAAAAGAGAATACACCTTCTGATTACACATTGATAGTAAAAGACATACCTAAAGAATTCAAACAGTAGTAATTAAAGTAGTTTTTTGAAAATTAATTTAATGTAGAAGTTATGGAAATAGATTATATATTTTATGCAAATACTTTAAAGGATTTAGAATGTGAATTAGAGATTATTGTAAATTAATAGAAAAAGGCATTAGAAAATAATGAAAATGATCTATTGATGAATTTAAATGAATAAAAAAAATAAAAATAAGATTAGATCATAGCTGAAGCTTAAAAAATATAATAAGATTATGAGTTATTTTCTGGAACAGCTTTTCTATCTTTGAAATATGAAGATCAAAAATAATAAATTTTAAAATTTTCTAGTTATAGAACATAGTAAGTAATTTCAAACATATTTTTTGGATGTATTATTTAAGAAGCTAAAAGTTTAGAGCTTAATAATACATTTATAAAAGTAGATTAAGCACCAGAACCTGGAGATATTATATGGGATAATATTGTTCATAATGATAATAGAAGGTTTTGGGTAAGATTACTTGGTTTTACATTTTCATAAATTGTTATAGCTTTATTTTTAATAACATTATTAGAATTGGCTAAAATCTAAGCATAAGATGCTTCAAATGTTCCAGCTAATTTAGTAAATGTAGAAACTGATTAAGGAATTGTATAAGTTTCTTTACCATAAGAATAGAAATCTAAAAATATGGGTTCTATTATTGCTGCTTTATTAACTACATTTATTAATTCTTTTGTTGTAGGTAGACTTTCAAATTTTTTGGTTGGTTTTGAAAGTTATGAAACATATTCTTTATATACTGTATCTTTAGCTTCAAAATTATCATTAATGTTATTTGTTAATTCTGCAATTATTGCATTTTTAGCAAGTACAATATATACTCGCAATTTATTTGGTCCTGGTGGACTTATATATACAGAAACATATTTTTTTATGACTAATGCTATAATACCTCCAATTGTTACTTTAGTCGATCCAAATAGAATTATTAAATCATTAAAATTATGGTGGATTAAGAAATTTAATAAAGTTGTAATTTAGAAAGAATTAAATGAATTATATGAACATAGTGAACATTTAATTGAATTAAAATATGCTGATATTATGAAAACATTGTTTATTACATTTTTCTATACTCCATTAACTCCAGCTGGATATATTACAAGTTTTGTTGGTTTAGCATTGTATTATTGTGCAGAAAAGGTAATTAAATAAATTAATTTTAGTATGTAATTTGTAATAGAATGTCTGTAAAGCATACTCCATCAGTTTAATTATCAATATTAATGACAGAAATGATGGAATATCTACCAATTATTTATGCAGCTGGATATTTAATTTTTAATTATTAAATAACTGGAACTACAAGTTATTGGGCTATTGCATCAATTTTAGTTTCATTTTTAAGTTCTGTTTTACCAATGTAATATTTTGTAGAAAGTTGGTTTAAATAAGAAGAATAGGATGAAACTACTTCATTTAATGAAGCAAAAGTTAATTTCTCTACTACCTATTCTTTATAAAATCCAGTCAATAAGTATAATATTAAACCAAATGAAACAATTTAAAGCTAAATAAAATCAAAAAGTTAATCATAATTCTGAATTAATATATTCAATATAATTTATAAATTTATATTAATTTTATAAAAATCTCGAAATCAGAGAATTAAGAAAATATTAGTACTATTTAAAAGTAAAATAATTCTATAATTAAATTAATGCTAAATAATGAAGAATTCTTAAGTTTTGATTTTAGTATAATTTACAACAAACTGATAAAATGTCTTATATTTTAATTTAAAAGTTCATAGTTGGAATAAATGATCTGTTCCAATCTTTTTACAATAATTTTAAATGATTAAACCTAAAATTAACGATCCATTAGGAAGATATTATTATTTGAAATAGAAACTGGAAATGAAAATTATTAAATAAATAAGTATATATGTTTAGCTACTCTTCACCAAATTTGCCAGAAACTCTTCATAATTCCCAATTTTTATTACTAACTTTAACGGCTCCCACTTCAAATTTAAACCCTGAATACTTCAGCTCTTTGATGAATTAGTATATATTAAATGTTTCAATATACAAGGTATGGGCCTGTCCTTTAAGTAAAAATTATGTATAGATCATTAATGGAATGTAGAGTATTGGTATAAATGGCTAATACAGAATCAGCTTAAAATGCAAAAAAGGCTTTAGATCAACTTTCATCAAATTTTATAAAATGTTCTTACTATTAAGATAATAAAATACATAGTTCATTTACGATGGGATCATATGAAACTATTCAAGATATTAAAGTCAGTACTTTGAAAAATAAACATTCCACTTCATTGAATGAATGTAATTTTTTAAAATTAAATGTAGTAATAAATGATGCAGATTCTAAACCACAAAGCGCAACTGTACTGCCTACAAGTTAAAGACTTATTCCTTCATCAAAAAACATTTAATCAACAAAAACACTCTGTTTGAATGGCATTTAAGGAAAAAACTTAGATGCTCTTAATATTTACAATATCTTTAGCAATTTCGGTAACATTGATAAAATTATTTTAATTAAGTAAAATATTGATCTTAATCCATAGTCTAAAGAATTTTGCTTTAATAAAATATTTGAAAGAAGATTAGGCTTATTTCGTATATTAGAATTGCCAAAATATACAGTTTTTCGAAAGCAATTTAACTATCACATTCGCAGCAGATGATTCTATTGATAAATTAATAGGTCTAGACACTCTTTATAAAGAGTAAGATTATTACATAGGTTCAGAAGATACAGATAGGTAATTAATATTTAAATTGAGATTTAATGCAAATAATAAAATGATTTTATTACCCCCTAGTTCAGTACTTCATATCTCAAATCTTAAGAAAGTTTCATCTAATGCAGAAACAATGTGGGATATCTTCTCTGAATATGGTATTGTTGAAGTATAACATTTTATATATTATATAGGCTGTCAAAGTTTTAAATTCTTAATTTAAATTTATGTGTTTAGTCAAAATGGAAAGCTTGAAATAGGCTTTAGAAGTTATGGCTTTAATGCACAATCAAGAAATTGATGGCAGGAACATACAAATCTCATTCACGAAAGCAAAAATATGATTATAATAAGAAAATATATTATTTACCATTCCTACAACTATAATTTGAATAATTCTAATCTCTAATTTCTTTATCATTTATCAGATTAATTTTAATATTTATTCTAGATATACATTTTTATTAATATAACATAAATTATTATCATTATTATTATAATGCAAGATCATCTGTAAGTTAATAAATGACGCATGATTTATTTATATAAAGCTCTTTAAATCTAGATCTTTTTTTCTATTAATAATTCCTTATAATTCATTTATGCATTGTTTTACCTATTATCATCAAAACCTTTACCTTTAACAGCAATATATCCATCATCAGATGCTTATGTACAATCAAATGTTTAAGTATTTAAAATATAAATCTTATAGTACTTATAACTATCTAAATTAACAAGATTAGCTTTAAGTTACCTATATTCCAGATTAAATAAAATTTCCACACTCTTAAAATCACAAAAATGAGGATACTCCTCCTATTTAACAGTAGAATAGCATACCTTTGAAAAAAAAAATAAATAAAGTTTCAAAAAAACATAGTGAACATATGAATGAAGAAAATAAACCATAAAAGAAGAAAGTTTTTCTTTCTATGTTAGACATTAAGGAAGCATAATATAAAAAGTACTTAATATTTATATATACTCTAGATGTAGCAAAGTTTCAAACTTAGAAGGATTATTTTAGAATACAATTTTAGGGAATAAGATTAAAGAATGATCATTTTTGTGAATTTGTTATTGTATACATTTTTGTCAATTTAAATACAACATTTTTAACTTAGTAAAATTATCAAATCCATTTATGTTATTAGTTTTTCTAATGTTAAGCATTATTATATTTAAAATAAACTCATTTAACTGAATATATTGAATTTATTTATTTTTGGATGAGTAAAATTATTTATTATGAATTCAAAACCATTTTGAAAATAAATTATTATAATTTATTATTATTGAATAAATCACTTTCCAATATATTCTCCTTTAAGATATCATATCAAAATACAAAAAATTATATAACTTTAAGAGAAAAAGTTAACTTTATTATTTATTTATTATAAAATTAACAAATAAATATATTTATTTTTTAACATTTAGATGAATTATTTTTTTAGAGATTCTTCTTTTTAAAATTTTATTATCATGTAACATCTCACAAACAATTTGTAAATAATTAAATTTGTGATATTTTCAGAATTACTCTTGGTTTAAAAATATAAATATATCATAATGATATTTTTTATTAAAATATGCAAATTTTTATTTCTGAATTTATGTCTAATATATATCAATAATTGTATTATTTCAATATATTCTTTTTATAGTCAAATCAAAAATAATTCAAGTCCCTAAAAAGGCTTAACAAGACTTTTGTAACATTTTTTAAATATGATATAAATTATTTTTTAATATCTTTATATATTTTTATAGTTTAAGATCATAAGGAATTTAGAAAATTATCATTATTAAAATATATATATAATATAATTTTAAAATAATTACATAAGTCATTATATTTAATACTATTCAAATAACTTTTTAATATTTTGAACATCAAATTGCAGGAAACCTTTAAATTTATTATAATATAATTGTTAAAAACAATCAAAGCATTTTGAATTCCATTACAAATCTAATTATGATATACTTTCTAATAATTCTTATTATGTAAGCTTTGAAATATTTTTTCTTGAACAAAATTCGAATATCTATAAACAAGCTTTTGCAACAGTTTGTAAGATTTAATCATCAAAATTTAATTAGTAGTGTTATAATAATGTTCGAAAAACACTTCTAACATGAGGTACTGGTGATTTCAAATCTGAATTATACTCAAATTCTCTAATAATTGAAATAAAAATGTACTTTTCTTACATATCTTCAATCATGTATCTAGCTAATGTATTGGAACTTAATACTTTAAAAGGTTCTCTTCCTAAAAGTTACTCCAATTCTTAAATTGATATTTCATTACCTTTAAATAATAACTAAGTTTAATTAAGAAACTACTTATTCTGCTTCTTATAATGAAATGTTGTTTTTTCTTAAAATTAATTTTAATTCAGTGGCGATATCCTCTACTTAACTTTTCTAAATACTTTTCACCATTTAATCACTATCTTATGCTTAAGTATATTAAGAATTTGATTATTAGTCATCAACATGTGTTGTTTTTCTCTTTTAATTTACTGTTAAATATCTATCAAAGTTTCTTGCTTTTTCAGATAATTATTAAATTTCTTTTTATAAATGTTCAATTCTTTCTTTATAATTCTACCTTTCATATTCATGTTGATTAATTTTTTATTGAAGATCCTATTAAGTTTATTCTATAATTGCTTTATCCTCGATATTAGTTTTTCTAGCAATAGCCAATTAATTTTTTAGATGAGATATCTCTTCATCTTTTGTTAATAATTCTTCTCTTAATTAAGATTCATTTTTATTTGAATGCTTTACATTCATTTCACTTAAATGATCTCTCTCTCTAAATTTCTATAATTATTAATCTTTTGCTTATAAAACCAATTACAACTATTAATGTTTTCTTGCTATTGAATAATATTCTGCTTTTATTTTTTCTAATTCTTTTATCTATTAAGTGGATTATTATAATTTTTAGAATAATTCTATATTATCATTAATTATTGACTCTGTGCTTCCTTAAAAATTTTAATATACATGATATTTCTCCAATTCTTATTTTAATGATTAAATTAACTTTTCCATTTCTATAATTCTTTTATAGTTAGTACTTTGCATTAATTCAAATACTTCTTCTTCTCTCTTTTTTAATCTTATAAGTGCTTATTTTAATTCCCTTTTATAATCCACCTCACCTTAAATAACTAAATCCTTTTCATAACATTATAACCTTGCTTTTAGTTTATTTATTTCATTTTATAAACCTTTATTATGCTATTTTTCCCTAATTAACTCTTCGTATAATTATTCTTTATCTAAACTAATTTATTTAGGTATCACTATCTTTCTTTGTTAACAGACACTATCTGAAAGTGTGTAAAGTTTATTAATATAGTTTTTTTGGAGTAGATATCCAGTAGAAACACTTTAAGCATGTTACGATTACATACAATAAATTTTATTCAAAATTAATGTATTTAAATATCTTACACCCATCAAAAATCTAAAAATAATTACATCATATTTATCAATTTATAACGATAGGTTTTATTACACATTAGATTATCTAATAAGAAATCTCATAAATATTTTTAAATTATAAACTAGGAAAGATTGGGTAGTATTATTTTCATAATCTAATAATTAAGAATTTAGTTTTTATTATTATTTTTCTAAAATTTAGATTTTCTTGTACATAATATGTTAGCTCTACTTCAATATATAATATATTTTTATATTAAAATAATAAATCTTATCTCAAAGAAAAATAACCAGCACAGTTTTTATATAATTTTTTATGATAATATATCATTCAATGATTATTTTCTTTTTTAATTATTTTAGAAAACATCTTTTATAAAACAAATTACTACTAAGATTGATATATCGTAATAATTCCATTATTCAATTTTTAAAAGTCTTAGACAATATATAAAATAATAATTGTGACAAATAAATTCATTTAAATACTATTTCAAATATTTCACATTCTATAATTTAAACACCAGATTAACCAAATAAATGAGTTGATGCTGTTATACTACCATATTAGTCACATTAATAAGCTGATCCTAGACTTGAACTAACACTATTAAAATTTGAAGGTATATATAAATCATGCCCAGAACCAAATGTAGGCCCATAAGATGAATTACAATAAATTGCATGAGCTTTATTACCAGGTTTTATAGGATATATTTAATTGTGATTTTAAGAAAATAAAAATGATTGTAATGTATCATCTACAACGTAATTTCCTAAATGTTATAACCATTAACAAGGTGAAAATGCTCCACAAATATAATTAGTATTTGACTTGAATACCATTAATAAATTTTTTCTACCATAAACTCTATTCCAAAATTATGTATGATTTAATCCATCTTTTGATCCACAAAAAACTAAAATTGAACATTTTATAGTTTATTTTGATTTTTCTTCAATAGTTTATAATATTTTTTAATATTATGCATCTTACAATACATTTGGCTTAGCTTTGATTTCTTTTTGGAAATTAGTATGATCCTATTATAATTTATTAAATTAATTTTATGAATTTTATAGTTGTTATTCTAGAGAATTTATTTTTTGATCTTTTTATTATAATTTTGTCTAACTATTTTTTATTTCTAAATTAAGATCAGTTATTGTTTTATTCAAAAGTTCAACTTATGTATTATTTTTTTAATTAGATTCATCTGATTATTATTTCATTTATTCTAATTTTGAAGATTCTTATTCAAGCTTAATCATTAATTATTTTTCTGATTCATCTTTCTACTTTAAATTCTATTGTAACTTTTCTAATTCATAATTTAATTATTAAAAATCTAGTGTTTGTTTTTTAATTTTATTTTTGGTTTCAATTAGTTGTTTTGATAATTTTTGTTTAATTTAAATTTACATAGTTATTCTTGATTAGATTCTCTCCTTTAATTTTTAAATTTCACATTATTATTATGATAATAAATTATCATTTTAATAAACTATAATCATATTTTGTAACTTTTTTGAAAACATCTCAAATTATTAGTATTATCTTTGAAAAATTTTTTAAAAATCTGATAATTATTCTTTTTATTCACTTTCTTTTATAATTATTTGTTTCTAATTCAAAAATTAAAATATCTATTTATTTTCTTAAAGACTATCAATTTATCCTTTGATTTTTTAATATATTTAAATAGAATCTTCAAAAATAGACAAATAAGATTGCAATAAAGAGCTATTTTCCAAGAATTATTGTATGTTGACACTATTAGTGATTTCTTCTTTTTCATTTTCACTCAAAATTAATAGTACTATTATTAAAATTAAATCATACCTTTATAATTACTTTCAATCATCATAATTTATTCTTTGGTAAATAGATCATATTTTATAAGATTTTCTAATACTTCTTTAAGTTTATGATAACAAATTGAATCTAATTGATCTTACTGTGAAAGTTTTAATTTTAATGAACGATATAGATCTTTTTAACTCAAAGCTTCCAATATTCCTTTAAATTAATTACGATCTAAATAATAAATATCTTCAGAAAATAAAGGAATAGGTGATAGCTGATCTTCAGTTATAATTTTGTTTTTTTCCAAATCTTTAATGATTGTCTACAATGTTTCCAAATATTTATCTCTCAAATTTGTAATAAATTTAATTGCTTAATTAAATTTAGATTCTCTCTCTTTAATATATTTTGATATCATTTCTTTAGAATGACACTTAAACTTTATCCAATTTTATTCTACATCTTCTAAAGTTGTATATTTTCTAGGAAATTCTTAAATACATTTTGCACATGCTAACCTATTATGCTGTTACTCATCAAATTCTAAATTAACCATTATAATTTCCAAACCATGTTATTCACAAATCTATTTAGTTATATAAATTTACATGCTTTTCAAATTAATCACTATCAGTGGATATATCAATTGAAAATTGCGTTTTTATATTTTTTATTGATTCTGATATCTTAGAATATTCTTAAACATTTGAAATTTATCCAATTTAATTTTACACACATTCTATCAATTACTCAATTATTTCTTTATTTGAAGATCCATCAGGTAATTCATATTAATTATTTCCTTTATAATATTTTGATAGCTTTTCAATATCTTGATCTAAATCTATATCAATTTGACTGTCTTATTTTATTTAAATTTCATTTTCGTTTTTTTTGATTTGACCTTCAATATTGTTTTAAGTTTTCTCAAATGTTTCTTTAATATGATTGGTGCATTCTTTAAGTGATTGTTGTAGCATTTTCATATAATCTAATTAAGTCTAATTGTTTTCAATGCTATGTTTCTTTTATTTTATTTTCATCTCTTAGATCATTTAAATCAGTTCATTCAATAATATAATTTATTATCCTTCCATCCTCAATATTAAACATTTAGCACATAAATATTTTTCATTCTAAGTTTTTGCACATTTTAAATCAACTGCAATAATTTAGTATGAATGCTATTGGCATTATTTGTTTATAATATCCTTTTAGTCCATATCTATTATATTTTTTTAAATGTTGAGCATTAAGCTAAATTTCTAGAAAAACAAAAATTTTATTCATAAAATATTTACGTTGGTTTCTTTTTTTCTTAAAATCAAAATTAATTGAAATACTAAAAATTAGGATTATGAGAGTTTTTGATCTAATCTATCTATTATAATTTATATTTAACTATTTTTCATAAATAAGATTAAAAATATATAATAGTTAAAGGATAAGAAATTAAATTGAAATAAAATTGAAGAAAATGAAATTTATTTACAACATTTCATTGATTCCTTAGAGTTACTTTGAATATTTAAAAAAAAACCTTGGATAATTTTTAATATGAGTTGATAGTTCTACTTTGATAATTAAAATTAAACTCTTAAATTTAATAAGAAACTTTTTAAAAAACATAATTGATGATTGTTATTATATTAAATAGAATTATATTGATATTCTAAATATTATGTTGAACAATTTGAGGATTAAAAGTATTTTAGAAATTATTAGAAAAAAGTAAAGCAAAGAAAAAATGAAATTTTTATTCCTGAATAGTAAAATAGATTAAGATTTTAGAACTTTATCTCACATGTATAATTTACAAATAAATCTAAGAGTAAGATAAGATAAATGAATGCCAATATTATACCAAATCAACACAGTCGTCATTAATTGATAATAATATTGTTTTATTTGTATTTTATAATTGATCATTCTTCCTTTCATGGTGCTTTTCTAGTTTAGGCTAATTCTTTTTAAGTTTAATGTAATTCCTTTAAATTATATATATATATTTATTACATCTTCTAAAGCCTAAACCTCTTTACTATTTTCTACTAATTGTTCTTCAACTTCTAATAATCTTTAATGGTTTTCTTCATATTCCTTCTATAATTTTTCGTATTTGTATTTAACTCTTTCAACTTCACTACTAACCATAGCCATTTTACTTTCTAGTTGATACTAATATAATAAATTGAGAAAATACTTTAATATCTTCCAATTATTTGATTTATGCTTCTAATTCTTAAATTTTTTTATCATATAAACCATGTTCTTTATCTTTTTCATTTAAAATGGTTATAGTTCTTTCTAATTCTCCTTATATATCTTCTACATCTAATTGATGAGCTTTAAGATCATTATAATTTTATTATAAAGTAGCCATTTCATCAAGTTTACCTTAATATTTTTTATTTTAAGCTTCAATTTAAGAAGCCAATAAAGCGGTTTTCATTTAATATTCTGATAATTTAGATTCCAAAGCTCTAAGTGAACTATTTTCATCTTCCACACTCTTGAATTTTTCAGTAAAATTAGCCAATTGTTTTTTAGCTTCTTCAGCTAATTATTATTATAATTTAACTTCATCTTAATGTTTCTAGATTTCAGCCTCAATTTATGCTTTTTCATGAGCAACCACATCTAAATCTTATGTTAATTTAACTTATTTTAGATCAGCTTCATTTAATAAATGTCTTAATTCTTCAACTTATTAAGTTAAATCTTCAACTTAAGCTGGTAAATCTTAAAGTCTTAATACTTCACCTTATAATTCTTAATTCTTTTCATTCAATTAAGAACACTCTTCTGTTTTATTTTTTAATCTATATGATTATCTTTCGATTTCAGTTGATAACATGGCCACCTTATTTTCAAGATTTCCTCTTTCTGATAATACTTTTTCATATTTTTCTTATGTTTCATCTTATAATTTTTACAAAGAAGCAATCTCATCTTAAGTTTTTTTAAGAGCCTCATTTAATGTTTCATTTTCCTATTCAATCTAAGCTAACTTTTCTAAATCCTCTTATTATTAATTTGAATGTTATTATAACTCATCAAATTATTATTATTTTGTTTTTTCTTTAACACTTCTTCTTTCAATTTCTGCTGAAAGCATAGCTGTCTTATTTTACATTTCATAAACTTTATTTTCTAAATCTTAATACTTTTCTATTTCTTTATGTAAACCTTCAATTTTAGCTCTTTCTTCTTAAAGTAATTTATTTAATTCATCTATCTATCCATTCAACTTTTCATATGAATCTTAAGCAATTTATTTCTCACTGGATAAAGTCTCTTATGTTTTATATAATTCAGAAGATTCAAGATCAGCTTTTTTTAATAATTCTCTCCAATTATCATATTCTTATTATTATTGATCTTCCTATGATTTATACCTTTATAAAGCATCTTACATTGATTCAAAATCATACTTTACATCATTTAATTAATTTATTTTATCTTATTAACCATCATAATCTTTCTTATATTTATCTAATTTAATTCTTTATCTTTCAATTTCAGAAGAAAGCATAGCAACTTTTCCTTATAAATCAAATACTTATGTTTCTAATTATGACACTTATTCTTAATATTTAAGAGCATCATGATATTTTTGATCAAGTTCTTTAATTAAATCTTCTCTTCCTTTAAGTTCAAGATTCAATGATTCTATATCTTATTGCAATTATTCCACTTCTGCAAGAGTATGGTTATTTTAATCTAAAGTTTCTCTTAATTCATCAATAGTTTTATCTTTATTTTTTAATTAAGCTCCTTTTCTTTCAATTTCTGTTGCAAGCATAGCTACCTTATTTTCTAAAGCATATTTCTCTTAAATAATTTTATCTATTTCTTTAAGTTAATCAGTAAGATTTGTAATCTTCTAATTCAAGATTGCTATTTCCTCTTCTTTTCCCTTAATAATTGCTTTCAATTATGCTATTTCAGTTTATAATTATTAAATTTTTTCTTTAAATAATTTAGATTCTTAAAGTAATCGCTCTAACTCAGCTATTCGATTATTCAATTATGTTATCTAATTATGTTATTCTTACAATTATTTATTTTTTTCATTTAATTATTATTTTAATTTATCAATTTCTTCTTTCAAGATAGTTTTTTCACTCACTTACCTTTCAAGCTCTTTGATTCTTAATTCTAATTACTTGTTTTATTAACCTCTTTATAATAATATATCATTTAATCTCTTTATCTCTTTAGTAGAACTTTCAAGTTTAGCATTTACCTCTTTAAATTAAGAATTCTAACCATTTTTAGTACTCTCCAATTAATGAATATTATCTTTCAACTCATTATTCTCTTATTACAATCTTTCTAATTACACTCTTAAGTTTTTTAATTCATTTTAATATCCTTAAACTTACATTGATCCACTTCTTCTTAATTCGTTAAATTATGAATTTCTCAATGTTTCACTACTTTTCTTAAATTCTTCCATACCTTTTATTCTATCTGTATCTAATTGTTAATATCTCTTTTTCCAAAACTCGATTTCTTATAATAATTAATTTATCTTATCTTTTTGTTCTTTTATTACTTAATCCTTAATTGCTAAATCTGCTAATTAATCTTCATAATTGGCAATGGTTTATTTAGCCTAAAAATATTTAAACAATTATACCTATGATAGCTCATTATGTGCATCATCTAACAATTATCTTAAACGTTTATTTTCTAATCTTGCCATTATGAGATCTTAATTTTCTAATTCAAGTTCATCACATTTTACTCTTAAAATTTCATTTTAGTTTATTTAACCTCTATTTTCTATATTTAACTTTTTTATTGCATCTTGTAGTACTTTAATTCTTCCTTCTAAATAATCAATCTAAAAATTAAATGAAATTATCACCTTCTTTAATTCTCCAGCATTTATTTAAAATGATAATTCTAATTAGAAATATTTATTTCTCCACACATCAATCTCTTCTTACATTCTAGTTATCAATCCTTCATCAAACTCTATTTAAATTGGTGGAGCTTATTTCCTTGGAGGTGTTTCAATTATTACTGTAGCAAATTATGGTGCTCCAGGTTACATTTAAATTCTTGGTGGGTGAATCTATACATTATTAATTTAATATCAATACAGGTAGTGGTCTAAAAGAAGCCATTGTCTCTCAACTTGTAAAAGATTTATTTTAATTTTATTTATGAATAAAATATATTTCTTTAAATACAGGAGAAAAATTACATCCTAAATACTCTTAAAGAATAAATATTTTATCGAATTTTCATTTTGTATTTTTAGTTCATGGTAATATACTTAAAAAATAAAATTATTTAATTCATTAATTCTTTTCGAATATCAAAATTTATTATTATTAATGGGATAGAGTGCAAATTGTAATAAATAATAAACTGATAGTCTATCTGAAATTTATTCAGAACAGATTAATTTTGAGTACTTTGGTCCTCATTATGCCTCTTAATATGTAATCAAAACTAAATTCATAAATCAATTTGAAGCTTGTAATAATAAAGTGTAAGAATAAAGAAAAGCCTCACAAACAGTCTCTACAACCAATCATATAGATTAAGATGTAGCTTTTAACTCAATATAATCAAATGAGAAATATTTAATTAATACAAATTAAATTATCGATTCTTCATTTGATTTAGACTCTAATAATGTGAACTCATCATTGGATAATTCAATAAATGCTCATCGAAGCATTCTTAAAAAAAAAGATTAAAAAACATCAAAACCACCAAAAAGCGTGAAGTTTATAAATACTGATTAAAAAAAATAATTTAGTCTAACTCAACAAAAGTAATTAGGCTAATTACTAAAGAGAAAACGCAATTGATATAATTTTTTTCATCTAAAACAAATTATTATTACTATTATTTATACAATTTTTATTCAGTAATATAGATGAATTCCTATTAATTATATTAAAAAATAAAAACTAGACTTAATAAAATTTAACAAAAATTTCAATTTTAAAATACTTCAAATACGACATCTCTAAGATAAGATTCAAAAATTTTTCTCAGAACAAATTATGCGAATTCAATAACCAAATCCATTTCCAATACATTAAAGTTTGAAATTTTAAACATATAAAATATTCCACTATTCTTTTTCATACTTAGATAATTTAAAATGAAATATCATTTCAGTTAATAGAAGTACATGAATTGAAATACTAATTATTAAAAAAAATATAATCATTCTTAAAATCTAAATGAGAAAAACTATGACTTTATAATCTGATTATTCTAAATCATCTTTCTTTAATGATGGGAAGTAACTATTTTGTAATCCTCCTCATCTTTAGATGGAGTTTACACAATTTGGAAACTTTCTAATGAAATATAATAATCGACAAAACCCTACAAACTTATTTTTACAAGAGCCTATAATAAAAATAGTTGATGAAGTATTTTTTAAATATATATGAAAGAAAGGTGAAAGATTCATAAACATCTATAATGTCTGTGTCAAAAAGACTTTAAATTCTAAAACATAGCAGTTAGGGCTAAGAATAAGCAAAAATGGATAATTTATTGAGTTATATGGAGAAATAATTGAATTGTGGAAATCAATAAAAAAATTCGCTATCTAAACTGACTTCTCGTTAAAATACAAACTGGGACAAAAAATAGGAGAGGGATATAGCTCATCAGTAGATTATAAAATAATTTTAGGTTTACAAGGCTTATAAAATCATTAATGGATAAAAAGTGGCTGTGAAAATTATTGATAAAAGCCTGATTTCAAGAAATAACAATACTGAGAAACAATATTTAATTAATGAGTTAGCTGTTCTTAGAAAAATTAATCACAATAATTTACTCAAACTTCATGAAACATTCGAATGTGATGAGAACATATATATAGTGACTGATTTGTTGGAAGGTGGAAATTTGAAAAATTCTATATTTAGGTTTAGATATTCTGAATAAGAAACAATAATCTTGATGTAAACATTATTTAAATCACTCAATTATCTTCATGAAAGAAATATTTTTCATAATGATATTAAATTTGATAATATTCTTCTAAGAGATTCATAAGATTTAACTTCAGCCTGTATTATAAACTTTGGAAAATCAGAAATCATTGAATAAAATCTCTTTAGCTCTTATAATCTTAATATTTATGAATAAACTCCACTTATTTAATTTATTAGAAAAAAGGATATTCTTGCCTTATGTATTGTTATTTATAGCATTTTCTAAAAGAGACTATATTAAGAAAAACTTATCTTAGATGAATTATTAATGAAAAACTATGAAAGTGTGGCTGATATTGAGTTAATGAACTCAAATCCAACTTTATAGCAATTTTTTGAGATATTGTTAAGTTAAAAAGGTGCAAATTAATTAGATTCTTTAAAATGCTCTGACATCTTAAATTTTGAAGTATTTAACTTGAATATTCAGAGACGATCATCTAAAATTTAAGGGATACCTTATAATATAATTAATAATTTTAGACGTTCTTCTAAATTTTCCCCTAGAAATTCATAAAAGGAGCAATAAATTAGCAATAATTTACAAAAAAGCCTCAAATTGCCAACAATTTTAGATTCTTCAGATTCAAAGATTTTATAGAAAAGTTCTTATAGTCCATAAACTGAAAATTATATTTCACATAGATTATTATCTGGAGAAAAACGAGATTCTTAAAAACCTCGCTATAGCTTTTTAAAGAAATGCTTAAGCCCAAATATTTGAAAATGAATAATTATGAATTCTTTTTTTCTAAATTATTGATTAATAATGGGTATTATTAAATTTTTTCGTTTTTTCTCTATGGTTTTTCTATGAGATAACAGATTAAAATAAATATATGTGGAACATAAGAAAAACAAATAATTAAAAATAAAGAAAGTTAAATTATTTTTCAAATATATCGATTCGGCATGGATGAATCTTTATAATTTATATTATTAGAAATCTTAATTTGATTAAATTTATGTATCAAACAAATTAGAAAGTTTCAAATAACTTAGATATGCGTAATTCTATTTTCTCACCTGATACAAATGTATGGATCACAAATACAAACTTTGTTTCTTAATAAAATGCTTAGGTTGTGGTTAAATATTAAGAAAAAGTTAAAGAAAAAAATTTATAGATTGGAACACAACATATTAAATATTCAAGAAATGTATATATAGAATTTACATTAGAAATATATCTCATTTTAAGAGGCCTTTTTGACAATTTTAAGAAATTAAGATAGTGAAATAGTTGGCTTTAAATTGGAAAAAAATAGCAAAATGATTGAGTTTTTTGGTCAAATAAAAAGTTGGATAGGTATATTGATGAAAGAATGTATCAGTTTAGATTTTATTTCGAATTTTCAGATATTACGATTGCTTGGGAGTGGATCAGCAGCTAATGTAAGAAATAAAATAAAATTTAGGTTTATTAAGTGCATTCTAAGATAGATAATCAAAACTATGCAATAAAAGTGTTTGATAAATCCTTATCTGAAAAAGACCCAACTATCAAATAATCAATAAAAATGGAAATAAAGATAATGAGATAATTAAATCATCCAAATATCATTCAATACAAAGGTGTTTTTGAATCAAACACTTAAATTATACTTGTTTAAGAATATTTAGAAGGAGGAGATTTGAAAAATATAGTTGGAGATGAAAAATTAAATGAAGAAAAGGCCAAATAAATATTAAAATCTATTCTATAAGGAGTATGTTATATGCATAATTATGGTATATTTCATAGGGATATAAAAAAATGTAATTTAATGTTAAGGACAGCAAACAATTTTAATTCTCTTTGTTTAATAGATTTTGGGTTAGCCGAAAAAGCTAATGATGAGAATAAATATTTATATAAATATTGTGGAACTCCTGGTTGTGTAGCTCCAGAAATTTTAAGAAAATAAACATACGGTTTAAAAGTAGATATGTATAGTATTGGAATTTTGGGTTATTAAATTTTATTTGGTAAGGATCCATATTAATCATCATCGACAAAAGAAACAATTATGAAAAATTTTCTAGGTCATATTGATTTTTTAAATGTCCCTGAAATATCTAATAATGGATTATGTTTTTTAAAATTATTATTATAAGATGATCCAGTAAATAGATTATCAGCTAAATAAGCCTTAAAGCATCCTTACTTATAAAATGAAGAATAAAGATTTGTAGTGAGAACCAATGTTGATGTCAATAAAAGAAAAGCTTAATCCCCAGTACTCAAGCCTTTAATCTTTTAGAGTTCAAGAAATTCATCACAAAATGGTAGTCCTAAAATACTGAGTTCTAAAATTTATTATAAAGCTTAGGCAAGTCCTTATTATTAAAATGAGAAAATTGATAAATTTTCCAACTCAGAAAATTATGGAAAATTATCTTCGTCTTGGTAATTCAAAAATTCTTTTAAAAAATTGAATACAAAATGAAATTAGTGTATATTTGTTATTTATTCTAATTAATTAATATAAATTAAATTTTCAGAGAATTTTCAATAAATACAATAATATTAATTATAATAAGTTTGAATGTATATTTAATTATTCCAAGTGTATAATTATTATTAGCTTATAGATATATTGAAATAGTTTCTGATAGGTAAAAGTATAACTATAGGATCTATCGTATAGTGGTTAGTACCTGAGGCTTTAACCCTCAAGACCTTGGTTCGAATCCAAGTAGGTCCTTTTTTTATATTTTATAAATATATTTATATTAATATTTTTATATTGTTTTTTGGTTCAAATATTTTCAAGGATATAACTTTCCACTTAGATTAGAATCCCCTACAACTCTAGATCCTCTCGAAGATTATTCAATAACTCTACTTCCTCTCGAAGATTATTCAATAACTCTACTAACCGATGAACTTGTGACATTCTATTGAACAGTCACTTATTTAACTTCAGTTACTCCTCCTTTTTTAAGAGCTTCTAATTCAGCTTATGCCATAGTTAATTTTTCTTGGGTTTCAAAAAATTCATTATTTAATTTCTTAAATTTAGACTTCCAAACTTCAACTTCCTTCATAGAAATAAAAAGATTACACTAGTTAATGTCATAGTTTCTGAACTCTCTACAGTAACAGTGCTCTCCATATGATGATATCTTTATTCCCATTCATCTAATTCTTATAATTTTTGTTTAAGAAGCCCTTATAACCTTTCCAATTCTAATTTTGAATTGTATAATTAAGTCTATTTTTAACAATATAAAATACTTCTAAGATTGCCAATCTATCTTTCAAAGATTAAGATGAATTATCACTTCTTAATTCTATATATTCACCCTCTTTTTATCTTAATCTATCTGATTCATTTCTAATATTAATTTTTAATCTTTCAATCTACATTTGCAAATCTGCTATCTAGAATTTTAAATTGCAAAAATACTTAAGTTGTGTTTTCAACTTTGACAGTTTCTTTTTCTACTTTTACTTATGGTTATCTGCTTAATAATTCAGCAACTCTTTGTCTCAAAATAAGAACTTCTTCTTTATATTATTCTTCTTCTTCACAATGACATTCTTTTTCACATTATTATGGATATGGCATTGGAATATAAATAGGCATTGGCATTGCTTAAGGTTAAGGACATGGCTATGGACAAGGTTAACAACATGAAGAATTAAATGCAATATTATAAACCCCATTTGTTTGTCTATTTGCTAATGTGGCAAATGTAGTCGTCAAATAATTTCTTCTTACAAAGTTGTATGTAGATCTTTGTTCATTTTCAACTGTTATGACTCTATCAGATACTTTTGTAGTCAAAAAGCTTTCCTCTCTTTTTGTTGTTGTATTGATCATTTGTTAAGAAATAAAATTTATATTTATACAAACTAGTTATTTACTATTTTTATATTTAAATTGAATATGTTATAAACAACAATAATATTCAAAGTATTTTGCCAACAAATTATGAATATTCAATTTTAATTATTAAATTTTTATGTCTGGATTCGAAGAACCTCTTTCTAGTCCAAATATGGCAAACTCCATTGTTTTTATGAGTATAATTTGCTATTATAATTCAAGATGATGAATTCTTAAATAACTTTAAAATGAAACAATCTTAATTCACTATGCTTGATAAAATAAAGCTCTCCCGAGAAGTTAGTGAATAAAGTATTCTCTCCTAAGACTCTGATGATTTTGAAGCCAAACAAGGTTTTAAGAATTAGATATGGAAGGATAGAGCACTTAACATTATAGTTCTTGTAGCTCGTTTTGTTACTTACTTATTGACTAATTCAGATAAATTTAAATTGAGATATTTAGATCATAGATAATTCAAAGTTATTGGAGATAAAGCTTCAAATTTTAACTTTTTTTTAACACACAAATTGATAAGAGGCAAATCTAAATAAGGCTCATTGGTAAATTGTAAATAATTATTTTAAGGAAATACTATAAACAAAAATTAAGTTTTACTTTAATTTTCTTAGAGTATTTGGATCCATTATTAAACCTATAAGACCTGATCATTCTCTTAAACTTTATTGGGATGTCTTAGTTTTTCTCATTCTTCTTATCAATATTTTATACATTCCTCTTAAGATCTCATTTGAAATAAGCGTAGTTGATGGAGCAGACTTTTTTTTAGATACTTTACCTTAATATGTATTTGTTTTTGAAATTTTACTTAATTTTAATGTTGCTTACTATTCAAGAGGTGTACTAGTTATGAATAGAGCATAAATTTTTAAACATTATTTAAAAGGTAAATTTGCTCTTGACTTTATTGTTTTGATTCCATTTATGATAGGAAAATCTAATATTCCTTATGTTGAATTTGTATTACTATTTAGAGTATCAAGAGTAATTAACTATTAATATCCTATAAGGTTATGTATATTTTTGAAAATATAGTTGAAACTATGAATCTTAGAGTCAATTTTGCTTCCTTTGTTGATATTATTTCATTAATGTCAACCTTCTTATTTGCATCGCATATCATAGCTTGTATTTGGCATTTCATTGCAATCTAAGAATCAACTTTAGAAGAAAATACATGGATTTAAAGAGCCAATTTACTTGAACATAATTGGTAAGCAAGATATATTACAAGTTTTTATTGGGCTTGTATAACTACATTAACTATTGGATATGGTGATATCATACCTGTATATAAATTATCATTTATTTTTAAATAGGTTACTTAATATGAAAAAATATTTGTAATTTTTGTTACTCTTCTAAGTTCTATTATTTTTGGATATACAATTTCAAGTATTGGGTCTATTTTTGCACAAATGAGTGAAAATAAAAATTATTTAAGAGATAGAATGACAATGATTGATTCATTTCTTAAAAAAAGAGGTTTGAACAAGGATTTATAAGTAAAAGTTAAGAAATTCTTTGAATATTTTTTAAAATAAGAAAGAGATTTAGAATCTGAATGTGAAAAATTAATGATTCATTTATCCGGAACTTTAAATAGAGAAGTCAAAATTGATTTTTACAAAAATATGTTGTATACATCTAAATTATTCAGGCAAAACTTTTCTCCTTAATTCATAGAAAAGTTATGCATTCTTGTTAGAGAATAATCATTTGTTCCTGAAGAAATCATCTCTATTGAAGGGTATTGATTATTTAATTATTAGATAAAAAGTGGATAAAATTTATTTCATTCTCAAAGGTGAAGTTGAAGCTTACATAAGTAATAATAAAACTATTAAAATTTATTCAAGAAGTTAAGCTCTAGATGAAAAATCTTTTATTTCATAAAATCCTGCTTTATTTTCTACTAGAGCTGTTAAGTTTTCAAAACTAGCTTACATAACATATGATGATTTAATAGAATTATTAAAATACAATTAAGAAGATAGAGAAAACTTTTTTCAAGTTAAACATTAAATTGAATTTGGTGGACGAGTTAAAATGGGAGGCTGTGAATTATGTCATTAAAATCATGATTTTATTAAATGTCCATTTGTGTTTTATACACCTAATAGTTTAAGGTTATTTAAAAAAAATGATTATGATGAAAAGTAACATAGAAAATTCAAAATACGTTCTAGATTAGAAGAAAAAATTCATAATGTAATGTAAATTAATAACTATTCATAGAACTCACTTTTATAATTAAGAAATATTTAATCAACAGTCTTTAACTATTGTGCATACTAAGGATTGTTGAATGAAATTGGACCCAATTCAGAATTTATTTTATCAAATAAATTTAATTTCTAATAGGATTCTGCCTAGGAAGAAATAGACCCAAGTATTACTAATTCAGATAATGAATCAGTATATAAACCAATCAAATCTTAAAATTATTTACAAATTAAAAGAGATTCGAAAAGAAAAGTCTCTGAAAATAAGGATTGTCATTCTATTAAATCAAAAAAAAAATAAACCAGAATTTCTATATAAAGGGTTTGTTAATAAAATAGGAATTCCGGATAATATGAAAGAGAACAGTGTATGTAGGATAGGAAATATAAATCAAACGCTAAAAGAGCTACTCTAATCTTAAATTAGATGAAACTTGATTAGAGTGAAAAGTTAGATGATGATCCTTTATAAACCTAATTTTAATAAACTATAGCTTTAACTTTATAGACCTAATAATAGTAAGGATTAACACAATAATCTTCTCCATGTGGTTAACAGTATTCATCATCATTTGGAAAGGCTTTCGATATAGATCAAGTCCAATTTATTGAAATGGATATTGCAAAATTAATGGCTAAAAAGGAATGTGATATAGATACATAAAAAGAAATGGAATTTTATGATACAGGATTTAATTTGTAAATAGTTGTTGGAAAATTGAAAAAAGTAAATAAAAAGTTGCCATTAAAATTAAAAAGAAAGAGAATGAGAAAATCATTTGCAAGATCCCAATCAATACGGCATATTAGCTAAACAAAATCTTGAATAATATCTTATAAAATCTAAATATAAAATAAAGTATTAAAACTATTCTGAATTATTAATATATAGTTTATATGTATCTATAAATTTGAATTACAATTTCTGAGTATTAAACAAAATAAAACATATTTATATATTGTATAAAATTCGTTTTGTATAAGTAATAATAAAAGAAAGAGAGTAAATGAGAGATAATAAATTGAGGGATTATTGGTGAAATCTAAGGGTAGATTAAAAATATCTAAGATAAAATAATTAGTTAGAGAATATTAATTATATTTCAGATAAGTATTAATTTAAATATTTTTTTGTAATGGCAGAGTAATTAATATAGTTATGATTTTTCTAGGGAGAAGGATACGAAAACAATACCTCTTGATGAGAATGATATAAACTTATTGAAGAAATATGGAATGGGGCCATATGCAGAGAAAATCAAATAATTAGAGGAAGAAAACAAAAATTCTGTAGCTTCAATAAATAAAATGGTGGGAATAAAAGAAAGTGATACAGGTTTAAGTATTCCAAGTACATGGGATTTGGTGGCTGATCAAAAACTTGCTGCAGTAATGGAATAAATAAAATTATAAGGAACATCCATTGACAGTGGCTAGATGTACAAAGATATTTAAATCATCTCTTCAATAAAAGGATCTTTATATGATCACCATAAAGCACATAGCAAAGTATGTGGTAGGTTTAGGAGAAAAAGTAGCCCCAACAGATATAGAAGAAGGGATGAGAGTAGGTGTAGAAAGATAAAAATATGCAATCTAATTACCATTACCCCCAAAGATTGATCCATCTGTCACAATGATGACAGTAGAAGACAAACCTGATGTTACATATAATGATATTGGAGGATGCAAAGAATAGTTAAAAAAATTAAGGGAAGTAGTTGAAATGCCATTATTGAATCCAGAAAAATTCATAACTTTGGGTATTGATCCACCAAAAGGTGTGTTAATGTATGGACCACCAGGTACAGGTAAAACTTTGACAGCCAGAGCAGTTGCTAATCGAACTGAAGTACTTATATATTATTTAAAAAATAGGCATGTTTCATTCGTGTTATAGGATCAGAATTAGTTTAAAAATATGTAGGAGAAGGAGCAAGAATGGTTAGAGAATTGTTTTAAATGGCAAGAACTAAAAAGGCATGCATCATATTTTTTGATGAAATTGATGCAATCGGAGGAGCTAGACATGATGATGGAAATGATAATGATGTTTAAAGAACTATGCTTGAAATTGTTAATTAATTGGATGGATTTGATTCAAGAGGAAATATTAAAGTATTAATGGCAACCAATAGACCAGACACATTAGATCCAGCACTTTTAAGACCTGGAAGATTAGATAGAAAAGTTGAATTTGCATTGCCTGACTTGGAAGGTAGAGCAGGTATATTCAAAATTCATGCAAGAACTATGAGTATGGAAAAAAACATTAGATATGAATTATTAGCAAGGTAATTATTAATATTACTAGTTTAGATTATGTCCTAATACAACTGGTGCTGATATCAGAAGTGTTTGCACAGAAGCTGGTATGTTTGCAATTAGAGCTAGAAGAAAGGCAATTAGTGAAAAAGATTTATTAGAGGCCATCGAAAAAGTTATTAAAGGATATCAAAAGTTTTCAGCAACTCAAAAATATATGGTTTATAATTGATTATTTTAGTCATATTATATACAAAAATAGGAACATTAATAAATAATTAATGAAATATAATACTGTTTTTTCAAGTCCAATATCTCTAACTTGGTTCTCTGGGGAATTTCATTTCTTCAATGCAAACAATCACATCATCATAGATTGAATTATTAATAAATGGTAAATTTTGTAAAGCTGGTCCTTGTCTAACTCTAGCATATTTATCATAAACAGAACCATGACAAATACAAACCCAACCCTTTGATAGAATGTAGGATTTACATTATAAGCACCCAAATATGGTATTGGTATGCATCCCAAATGAGTACACAAAGCACTGACAACTAATACCTTAGTATTACCACAATTAGTAAGGACAACCTCAGAACTATGAATTATTTTTTCTAGATTACCTGGGATCTAAAATTGTTTCTTTTGGTAAATTATCTTCATCTTTAATTTCTTATTGTGTCAATCTTCTAATAAACACTGGTGTACCATTCCATACGATTTGCATGACTTCTCCAGGAGGTAAATCTCCAATACTTAAAAAATAAATGCAAAATCGTTACTCCATTTCAAGATAAGTATCTCTATCATATCTCTTCCATCCATCCATTCTGCCTATTAAACCTACTGCGAATAATCTTGCAAAAGAGAGTAATCCTCCATAATAAACGGCATTTAATGCATAAATTTATGTTCTTTTGATCTCAGTCTCATGTTCATTATGAACTCTATTTTCAAATCTTTAATCCATTTTTACCTGTTTTCATCAAACCAATTATCCATTTATACTTTAAAATCGATATGATCACCAAAATTTCCAGGTCTTGCTGAAGTTGTGAAGAATTATGGTGCTTCAGATACTTAAACTCCTTTGTATAACTTTTAATTGACTCTATTATTGTATTCTGAAACTAGACCAAAATGAGCTTTGCCAATAAATGATCTTCTCAGTGTTCCACTAATCATTTTTTAAATCTTTTATATAATTTATTTAGAAATAGTTATTCTTTTCATATTTTCATCTCCTGTATGGATTATCTGATACTCATTAAATTGCTTTTTGTAATTTATTCTGGAGCTGCCTACAAAATCCTATTAATCTAAGCCTTCTTAGTAAATATCTGTATATTGTTATTATTCTCTATTATAAGTCTTAGCAAACTGTAGTAGAATGTCAACTATTCCAATACATAAACCATAGTTTCATCTTACAATTGTAGTTATTATGAATCACTTGCTCCATTCAGTCTGCTATTACATTTGTTAAACAAATCTCTAATGCATCTCTATAGCAGAGTGCTGAAAAGCAAATAAAATTCATAGCTCTCGGTTACTGATTTAAAGTTTTCATATATTTTTTGAAAGCTTCGATCTCTTAATACAGATTATTTGAGAGCATGATTACTTTCAATCATATGATACTAAGAATTAAAATGAGTCTTACTTATTTATCATGATATTCTTTGGCAATTTGATAGAGTTCATGAACTTAAGTTGAATATTTTCCTACTGTTTCAATGTAGGTATCAAATTCATAGAGTTATAAAACATTTTTTTTTTTTTCAACAACTTCTCTTAGTAAAATGGTCTTAAAGAACATGTTTTTAATAATCAAGAATTTTAATTTGATTTAAAAATCTTAATTGAGTACTTGTTGTTTATCTAGAACTTTAAGGATTCTAAACATCAATTCAATAAATTAGAATTAAGCTTAAATTACTTCATCATTTTAAGTTAGGTATCTAACACTTTCTCTACTTTTTAATGCAGATTAAGGCATAGCAGTTTAAGCTATAAAATTAATCTTACGAGTAGGATGATATTCTGTAGCTCTTTAAGGAGAATAATGGTCTCGATTTTTAACTGATGGAATTCTATCTGCAATAGGTCGAGGTGCAGTCATAGTATGTCTGCGATAGAAGATGGGATGATGTTCTAAATCACTGCAAGAGAATCTTTTTGATTCATCTACAGATAGACATTTTAATATGAACTCTATTGTTTCTTTTGATACTGGAATATTTTATGGAAATTATGGTACTGTCTTTAACATTATTTGAGCCAAGTCTTTTTCATTCTAAGCTGAAAATGGAACTTATCCATATAACATTTCATAGAAGATTACTCCCAAACTCCAAATATCACTTTTTTCAGAATAGATATTTTTAATCATAGTTTATGGAGACATATATAATGCTGTACCTACATTGTAGTAGATTGTTTCTGGTGGTGCATTCATCATCTTTGAAAATCCATAATCTGCTATCTTTGGTATCCCATTTCTTATTAAAATATTTATTGGTTTCAAATCTCTGTGAATAACTCCTTTTTAAACTTATTCCTTAAAACCATTTACGATATGCTTCATTATTTTAATAGCTTCTATTTCATCAATTCTCTATTTTCTTTTTATTAATTGTCCCAAATCCCCTATTATTCTTGAATTTCTATTTACCTTAATTGCAATATTCAGTTACAATGTAAGTACATTATGGTTTATGATAATAATCATACATTTTTACTATGTTTTCTGAATTCATGAGTGATAAGGCTCGAATCTCTTGATTCAACAAGAACTCTTCAACTTCATTTGTTATTTTACTTCTATCAATTATCTGATTGATCATATCATAAATATACTTTTATCGCAACGGTCTCATTTGTATTCTCATTTTTGCCTTTAAACACTTAGCTACTGAAACCTGACCCAATTTAATCATTCACACTGTAACTATAATGCTCAAACTTCACTATTTTTCCGGATTAAAAAGCAGCTGCTGTAACTTAAGCAAATTTCATGTCTGATATTATTTATTTAGTTTGTTATATTGATTAAAAATTAAACTTTATGGACTACACTATTAAAGATTCATTTTTTGATGACTAAGAACAAAAATCCTTCTGGACATAAACTCAGTTCCCTGCTAAAGTAGTCTAAATGGAATTAAAAGACAATATGCTTGTTTATAAGGAAAAGGAATTTGTTAAACGTAAAGTTGGAATTATGACTCATTATCTATTACTATTTAAAGATTAAGTAAATTTAAAGAGTACTAAAATAATAGGAAGTACATAAGTGGGTTAATTTGATCAATATTACTATGGAGCTGATTAAAAATCCAGTAGTCGGTCAAGGAATTAGATTTCTACAAAATAAATAATCCTTTGAAATGTATGGTGATGTTGAAACTTGGTTCAATTATCTTAAAAAATATTGTATTTAAAGAACCTTCTCTTAAAAATACACATTACTTAAAAAAATAGGATAAGGCAATTTTGCTGAAGTATTTCATTATATGATTATAATTATCAGGTATTTAAGGCTATTTCTAAGATTGATGGATAAGAGTATGCAATTAAATGTTTTAGAAAATCTGATCTTAAAGAAGAAGTTGATAAATTATCGATTATTAAAGAAACTTCCATAATGAGAAAACTATAACATGATTCTGTAATAAAAATGTATGAAGTATTTGAAGGAGAAGAATACTTATACTTAGTTCTTGAGTATTTGAGAGGAGGTGAATTACATAAATTTATGAAGAAGTCTCCTCCTTTTTCTGAAGAAAAATGTTCAAAATTAATTTACAAATTATTAAAAACTTGTCAATTTATTCATGAATAAGGAATATTACATAGAGATATTAAACCAGAAAATATTATGTTAAGAAAAAAAGATGATTTAGAGGATATTTGCATCTGTGATTTTGGTTTAGCAGATTATTATACTCCAAGTGGTAAATATTTATTCACAAGATGTGGAACTCCAGGATATGTTGCACCTGAATTATTATAAGATAAAGTCTATGATTACAAAGTAGATATATATAGTGTAGGTATTTTAATGTTTATTCTCATTGCTGGTAAATCTCCTTTCGAAGGCAAAGATTATGATGATGTAGTAATGAGAAATTACTATGCAAAGGTTAGATTTGATGAATGTAAATTAAGTGAACATGGTATGAGTCTATTATAAGGAATTATGAACAAAAATCCTGTTAAAAGATTAAGTGCATAAGACGCTCTTAATCATTAATGGTTTATCTAAGAAAAATTAGCAAAGACATGCCAATTTAAAATTCGTAGACATAGTAATGTTAAGAAATTACCTCATCTTGATGGATCCCCTATACCAACTACTAACTTTTTGAGTCCCAAAAATTCATTTAATAATCTCAGTCCTTAGAGTTTAACCAGAACAGCTGATATTACACCGAATTCTCCAATCACTCCAATTACACCTCTCTAACATAAAGGTAAACCAATTCGTAAATCAATTTTCAATCTACAATAAATATGAGTATATAATTCATAATAATAATAAGTATCTACATTATGATTCTTTATAATTCTCCATACTTTAATTAACATTTATAATATCTCAAATAAATAAATCACAAAATCACAAGTAGAACTATTTTTGTATTTCTTCTGTTAACGATTATGTATAAATAATTTAAATAAATATTTCTTTAAATTAACCAAGCAACTATTATAATGGTATAGCTTTATGATCAATATCAATTACTTAGATTCAAGAGCCATAAATTAATCCTCAAATTGCTCCCATCATAGCTAAGTAATTATAGATGATTATTAAATAACCTATTGATGGTACATTTATATCTTATTCATATATTAGGTGTTCATATTATATTTAATGAATAAGATGTATTTGATATCTAGGCTGATATTGAAGGTCCAGGTAAAAATTATCCTTTATTTTAGTTGACACCCCATTCTAAGGAGGTGTTTTCAGATGTAAATTGATCTTACCACCATAATTCCCATAAATGGCTCCTAAAGGTATTCTAATATCTCATATTAGGCTTATTTAATACTAAAATCTTTCATCCAAATGTTTCAGAAAAAGGAGAAATTTGTGTTAATACATTAAAGAAAGATTGGAATCCTATCTAATGGTCTTTAAAACATATATTTGAAGTTATCAAATGTTTATTAATTGTTCCTTTTCCAGAAAGTTCTTTAAATGAAGAAGCTGGAAAATTATTTATGGAAAATTATGATGAATATTTTAAAAGAGCTAAATTATTAACTACTATTTATGCAGTAAAATAAGAAGCAAATATTTTAAAAGGAAATAATTAAGTATTAATTTCTTTTAAATTTTTAGGTCGTTATTGAAGAAGTTGATAAAAAGAATAAAGTCACTTAAACTCAATAAAAAAAAGAGAATGATCAAAAGAAATGGTTAAAAAGAATATGAATACTTATTATTATCATTTAATGTTTAATAAATATATGTTCTTTGTTATTATATTAAAAATTTTGAACTCTATTTATAAATAAATGTTCAAATAAAATAAATTTATCTAATTTAACAAGTGATCACTCTTATGAATTTTTTATTTCTGTTTCATGTAATTATTTGCTTTCATTTAAATTATCATTTGAATCAAAATTAGCCCTAATATAATTTAAAATTAGTTACCATTGTTTATTCTTTTCATAAAATTGTTTTTAATTATATTTTAAAAAGTAAAGTGCAAAAGCACCAACTAAAACTCCATAAAATGCACCCCATTAAGCAACAGTATCAATTATGGTAGTTTTAACAACCTATGTTATTTTCACTTCTTAATCTAATCTTAAAAAAATTTAAAATCCTTTATAAATTGATGCATTCCTTTTTGATATAACATCATTTTAGGTTACATTTGTTACATATAAATATTATCTATTAACAATTAAGAATTCTTCATGTTTAGTTTTAAATTAAGTTAAGTAATCTCCTTTCATGGTTACAGATTACTTTTATAATACAATTTCTGCTCTATTATATAAGCCAGGGGTTAAAAAGTATTAGAAGACTTAATATGTTAAAGCATTGGTTTCTTTACCTGTAACAAAATTAACATCAGGTGCTTAACTTTTTATATACAAAAACAACCTACCTCCTGCAGTTATCTAAATAAAATGTATAACATACTCTCTTAATTTCATCTTCGGATTCACATTTTTTTGATGTATCTTTATAAGGACAATAATCTATTTAAATTCTTGGATAAATGAATTCTTCGGATTAATATAATTATCCAGATAAATTAAGAGGAACCATTGGACATAAAAAAGCTAAATGTGAAGCATTTTTAGGCATCCAGTCTAAATCTTGACTGTAACATGTTTTTAAAGGAATTTGTATAGAAGAATTATCTTCTTTGGTTGGATCTAAATATTTAATAACCTGCTGCATTGTGATACTAAAAAAGGTATCATTAGTGATTGAATCATAAAAGGGACTCCCATATAAGAATTATATTGCAAGATCAGGACCTTACGTTACGGATGTAGAATCATCTAATTATGTATATTCATTTAATCTAGGAACATTGTCAATAATAAAAACTAGATTAATCAAAATAAATACAAATAAAACTAGAGATTATATAACTTGCAAATAAGAAAATAAATACGAAAGTTCCAATTAAGCTTCTTTTGGTACTAACTGGATATGTTTTAGGTGTAGGTATCATTGAAAAAAGATCAACTTTATGTAACAGGATTTTCCATTTAGGTAAGGTGTTTCTCTATCTTTCTGGTTGTAATCGTTAATAAGACTATCTATGATCTTAAAAGTCTTCAATATCCGACATTAATAAATAATAAATAATTGTAATTATAATTGTAATTATAATTTTATATACAATAAAAATTATATGAAATATATTTAGATTGGAAATAGAAAAATCAAATACTTATATCTAATTATGTCAAATAAACATTTTTAATTTTTGATTTGTGGATAAAGCTTATTATTCAAGTTCTTATACCTAATAAAATATTTATTCAATTATAAACCTCTTAGTATGTTTCTTCGATAAGTTACAGATTGTCTTCATTTTATTCTTCATCTTCTTCATCTTCATCTGTGAATCCAATTGCTTTCTTAACAGGGAACCAATCAATTTCATTATTGATCATTAATCTTTTTACATAGGTTTCATTTCCTGATAAATCATTTTTTGGTTTAAAAAATAAATATACTTTGTAATATACATAATTCCACATGTGATGATTTTTTTTAATATGTGAATAATGCCCATATTAAGTACTTTTGTCTAATTTTTCACTTTAAATTCCGCAGATAAAACAATAGTCTTCTAAATTAGATTACTTTTCTATCATTTCATCTTTCAAAGCACCAAAAGTATCAATAATAATACCAGCAACCATATTGATAATCAAAAATACTAAAATAAATTTAAAAAGAACATCAAAAACAAATCTATAAATAAATCTATCCTATTAAGATGAGGTCAATTAATAATTAATAGGTAATTAAGAGCCAGCTGGATTTTATAATTAAGTATCTGCTAAATAATCACCAATGGCTCCACCATTTTTGAATGTTTAATCAAATGTTTATAAAAAACATCTCCACATAATTTAACATGATTAATCTTAATATTGATCCCAAAAAAATAGGTATCCAATAACAGCAAAATAATATTCAATTAATAAAAATACTAAAAATGATAATCCCATTTATATTTTACTAATCCAAATAGCTTTAATTACAATTTTAAGAGTTGATATTCTAAGAAAATCAGCAAGTAATAAAACAAATGCAAAAGGATGAATAACTAATCCAACAATAATACAAGCCATATAACCACAAAAATAAGCAAAATCAAAATCAACTAAACAATTAATAAATGATTTAACTATCATAACAAAACTCATAATAGTTCTTTCTAGACATCCCATAGGTTTACTTAAAAATTCAACCCACATATCAGTAATTAAAAGTGGTGCCTTTTTTATAGCAAAAAATGTTATGACTAATAATGAGAATCCTAAATTTAGATAGCCTAAAATAACTATAAGTGTATTAGTCCATGTAAAATCAGAAACATAAAATAAACGTGGTTAATATAATCTTGCATACCAAAGTAATTCAGAATCAGGTTAAGTAGTATCATAATATAATTGATTTTACACTACCCAATCTAATGTAAATTGTATACCATTAAAACTAATTGGGAATGGTGTTGCTAAATAATCAGAATATGCATAATTTCCATAAGAACATAAAATTACCAAATTTATTATAACATTAGTTATGAATGCTAATTACTCCCACAATAATTTATGAGTAGCAATCAACTCTACAACTTTTAATCTTTTAAATAAATTCCTTAATAATTCTTCATGTTCCATTACTTTTCTCATTTAATCAGCAGAAGTCATTAAATATACTAATTTATCTCTAATTGAAGAATGATCAACCTATTCACAAAAGTCTTTTCTAGATTCTTTTGATAACATTTTACATTAAGGTAATAAAGGAAAATAAATTCTATGAAGTTATTCATCTCTCGCTATCTCTATAAATACAGTATTTTCAGAAAAGAATTTATATGCATCTTTTTATGCTTTTTTCATTTCCTATGCTTTTTTTAATTCATTAGATTCTTCATCCTCAACTTAACCAAATGGTAAATTAATTTTAATATTCAGATCTAAATTTATTTTAAGGTCTAATAAACCTTCCAAACCTTGATTTGATTTTTTGTTGACAAATTAATATTCTTCAATTAATTTACGAATCTCATCAAGATCACTTTCTTGAGATTTCTTATTTTTCAACATTAAAATATTGATTATGATAAATAGATTAAAACCATACTCGATAATACATTCATTCTTTTTTTTAGTCTAAAAACCATCATTTTCATCTAAATAAGTTTTAAAACATTCAACAACATATTCTTTCTTATATATTGAAGTATATAATATATAAAACTTTGCCAATTCATTAATTAATACTGTAATAGGAATACTTCTAATTAAAAGATTCATTATTTCATCATTCTCTTCTTATAGTTCCATCAAACTAAGTACTGTATTTGTACATTTCAATTTCAATCTTTTCAATTTTACTTGAGGAATATCTATTTTATTTTATTCAAATAGTTTTAGATCTTCTTTTATCAAATCAACACTCCATGATACAAATTTACTAGTAACTATAACAACTTAATTCTCTTTACAAGGTCCTTAAACTACTTCAGTTAAAGTATCTAAACATTAAACAAGAGATTCATATGTTGCATCAGATATTCTATTCGAAATTACTAATTTTACCATTAATGATACAATATCATAGGATACTTTAGAATTTGTTTATTATCTTAAATAATTTTAGAGTTCATTATTATGACCTTCACATAATAGTTGAATCACCTACAATGTTTTTGCAATAAATTTTCTTTTTCTTATTTTTTTCTAATCATCCTTCTTTCTTACTTTACGCATTGAAGCCATATATTCTGTTAAAATAGCGTATATTTTTTAAAAGAATGCTTCGCTATCTGAATTCATTTTCATTAAATTTAATATGCTCATTTATATTACTTTGTTTCCACCATCAAGTAATGCTATTATCCATTTTATTAATTAATAAATGTATATATCTTCAGTAGCTTTTTCACTCCAATACAATCTTAAAGCTATTTATGTAGCTTTAAGTGAATCTAAATGAACTTACATTTTTACTAATTACTTTTCATTTTTTATTTCTAATAATGCTCTTATCGATTTTATTATAAAAATAACAGTATGTCGACTTGCTTTTCTAACTTTCCAATGTTCAATATAGCTTAATAGTTTAACAATTAAATCATCTCTAGATATAATTAAATCCTTAAGTCTAATATCCATCGTTTCTTTTGGTTTTTCAAATATGTCTTAAACATTTAAAATTACCTCTTTAAATTTTATTCTTTCATTTAAAACTGCTTTTTTTATTGATTAACTTCTTAAAATCTTTTTTACAAATTTGTTCCAAGATTAAAATGAAGAAGCAGTATCTTATTATTCTGAATCTAATTCCTAAACAACAGAGGCTTTATTTATATTATCATTTATCTCCTAATTATTGTTTTCAGATATGTTGAAATAATCTTCAGGAATTTCAAGATTAAAATTATTTGATAATTCCATAAAACCTGACTTGTAAATTTACAATTTTTCAAACTTTTGCAAAGAATTTACTAATTGTTAAGCAAATTAAAATATGAATTTCTCTTTTTAAATACTTTAATCTTAAGCTAACATTTTTAAAGATATCATTCCAATATCTTTCAAAAAATTAACAAAATAAACATTTACTAATTTCACTATCTATAATGCTATAAAAGATTAATCTTCTTTTGATATACTTGGATATTACATCTTTTATGAAACAGTTTATAACAATTTTGTAAATTCTGCACAGCATTTTTAAAAATCGTGTAAAGCTTTATCAATTTTTTCAAAATAAATTTTTAATATTGAAAATATTTATTCCTTAATAACTAATGATCCAGTCAAAGATTTCGTATCATTCAGTAACATTTATAATAATTATCTTACTGAAAGATTTTCCTATAATTAAACAATAAAATTAACACTAATATCACCCTCAATACATCCACTAACTAATTATATAAATTTCTTCCTAAACATTAATTACCGTTCTTCTTAACCATTTTCATCATAAAATATTGGTAAATCCTTTTTTGGAACTACTGTTTTATTTGGATCAAAATAACGATAATTTGATAAAATCTTAGAAATTATTGCTATTTATATTTTATATGAATCTGTATCTTTTGATGCTCTTAAAAACACAAGCATCACTTCTAAAAATTCATGTTAATGACCATGATCATTAATTAAATGCTAAATGTAATCAAAACATTAATCTTAAGGCTTTAAACATAAATCCACATTATTATTATATAGAGATTATAGAAATGATACTTATCCAATATTTATTCTAACTGGTTTATCTAATAAAGTAACATATATTTTATAAATAGAATTCTGATTACTTTTATTACCCTCAGCAAATTTACTTAAAATTTGATGACAAGTAGTAAAAACCTTAATAACATAGTAAATAAATTGTTTTCGATATGAATATTAATCTTAATTCTCAACAACTGTGGATTCAGATTTTTTTTATTCTATTACTAAAGGAGGTAAGTTTCTTGCCTTATTCATTCCTGGTGTTATGGCAAGATTAGGTTAATCTTTTTCTTCATCTGAAGAAATATGAAAGTACTTAATTTTTGAATAAATTACTCTAATACCTGCTTCTAAGAATTTTAAAATTAATTTATGACCTCCCAAATGTTTAAATATTTTCTATTTTATTATAAATGATTCAGGATCACATTAAAGTTCAAATTCTTTTAAAATTTAGTCAAATTTTTAAACAGTTTAATGTAAAGCTTCTTCTGCCTTTTCATCATATATATTTGATTCTATTATTTATAACCAAGACTAACTATAGCTGATTTAATTCTTTATATCATTAACTAATGTGGATAAAGCTTTATAGGAATTATTATCAGCTTATACAAGTGAAACTTTTTTTAGATTTAATAACAATTTTTTTCTTTATGTAAATCTTTTATATATCAAATTTACAACAGAATTCTATAGATCGGGATCTTATGCAAAATAAAATGCTAAAATCAATACTTCTACAAAAGGTCTTTCAAGAATATAATCGAAGTCTTGTATTTCTTCTTCAGGATGAATATTTTCATCTTCTTTTTTAAATTTACCAGGATCTACACTAAAATTTGGCATTATTTGATCTACATTTTTTTCATCATCTATTTTAGAATAATCATTTTGATTTCTTTAAAACCAATGTAGTGCTTTACCAATTTAAATATCTTCTCTCCACTCTAAAAGAGTTTAAAAGATAGCACATATTTATTTTTTTATTAAAATAAAGAATTTACTTTATTGTTAAAATTTACAAGTTTTTGTTGTAAAATATTTTATTAATTTGAATAAACTTGTATATCTTTTCAAAAAAGGAAATGATTGTGATAAATCTTATTCTTTTTATGAACTCCCTTACTCTTCTTCTTCTTCTTCAACCTTAGCTTTTTGAAAGATATTTAAATTGATCATATATTTTAAATCTTCCTTTTATTCCATATATGATCTTTTAATTTAATTTATCTTTAATTCCTAAAAGTAATTATGGTCATATTCTAATAATTTTGCCAAATAGCAAACTAAATCTTTTAAATCATTGTCTAAATCATTCAATTTAAATCTCTGATTATTTGATTTTAATGTAGTTTTAAGCAATTAATTTGCATGCTTAGAGAATAATCCAAATTTAACCATCAAACTTAAACATCTGATAACTTCATATGTTAATTCATTATATATATTTATTGATTTATCTTCATTAATATTTTGGTTATCTAAATAATCAATTTTAGCTTTTAAATATTCCACTAACCATTTTCTAATCAAGTAAGTTCCTTCTATGTCATTTGTAAGATTAATTTCTATAAATCGATCAGTAATATCATCCTTTCCACTTTAATTATTGTAATTTAAAACTCTAACAAAGCTAGGCTTATTTATAATGCTTCTGGGTTCTTAATCAATATATAGATTTAAAATTAACTAACATAATATGGCCTTAATCTCATCATCTATAGAAGTTTCTAAATAATACAATAAAGCTTTTCGTGGCAATAGTTCCTAAAGATTCTTAACACAAGCATAGTTTCTATTTTAACACAGTTTTGCATATAATCTAAGCTATTCAAGGAAATATTGTTGAATTCGTAAATCAATAAATTTGTTATCAATGTTAAATCTTAGAAATTCGCTAGGTTTTGAAAAGAATTCTTAAATTTACAATTATTTGCTTTCATATTCCCTTTCAACAAAAACTCTATACTCCACTAGAAGATTATTTTCCAAGTAATCTATTCTCATCAGATGACCAAATAAGAAATTTTTATTTTCTACAATAGCTTAAAAAATTTTCTCTTAATTTATGTATATTGATTAATGTTCTTATGAAGTAAATGCAGAAAGTAATTATAGTATTTCAACTTTATAATAAGGTTCAAATAATTTTAATCTATGAGCCATTGCTTAAAAGATATCTTAATATTAGTTCTAAGCAATTTCATTAATCTTTTATCGATGCAAATCTTCTAGGATTTCCTTGTTGTCTCTAAAACATAATTTTAATGACTAGGTTACAAATGAACCAAATCCAATATGATTACTTAAATTCGTAAGGAATTTTAGGATGAATTGTTAATTTTCATGATTTCTGGTAGCAGAAATGCTTAACAATTTATAGCCTAACTAACAGATTTCATATCTTTTCTTAATAATTTCTGATTCTTATTTTATAGATGTGTTTTCTATTATAATTATGATATGATTATACATATTTTAGAATGACCTTTTTTTCTTTTAAGAGTCCATTTAGATCCATCATCTGGATTAATTTAGTAAAGTTCAAATTCATCAAAAGTTGGAAATATTTCTATTAATAACCAACAAAGTAATCCCAATGAATATTATTCTTTAAATCTATCCTATCTTCCTCTACATACTTATAATGGTTCTTAATCCAAACTCATATTAGCAACTTAACTATTTGTTAAAAATTCGTTTAAAAATTAAATCATTTCTTTGACTCTTTCAAAAAGAAAATCAAATTATTATCTTTCTAATTCTGATCTAGGATATTCTACAAATTTTATTAATAACTTTTAACTAGCAGTAATACAATAAGTTTCCCATACTTATTACAAAGTTGCTTCTCTAAATCTATAGGTATTAATATCCTTAATATATCCTAGTAAATAAGGTTATTAAATGCCTTCATTTTAATTAAGTGAAACCCATAATCCAGTTTTAGCATGTTAAATCATAAAAAAAGCATCTTTTGATATTTTCTAAATTGATTTAGTTTTTCCTTTATATTAAATAAGATTATCGATAGGAACAAACCTAAATTCAGTACAAGAGAAATCAGGATATTTTGAACTAATATTAGCTCTATTATATGGCATTAATCTTTCACTTTAAGGAGCTCCTTAAACAGATAAATAACATCCAGTTATGATATTTTTTAATCTATAAGTCTAATCCCATTTCAATTCACCTCCAATTTTAACATTATTAGACTCTATTTTCCATAATCCAAATGGACTTAATTCATCAGATTAACCAATTTTAGGTTCTTTAATTAAAGTTAATAAGATTTATAATCCATCTAATAATAATTCTCTAGGTTAATTAAGAAATTATTCTTTAATATCTTTTTTCTCATTCTGAGACCATTCATATAAAATATTTTTTTTTTCCTTCATTAAATTAGGATTTTTAGTAGTCAAATACATTTAATAATAGGGATCTTCAGATCTTTAACAAGTAAAGAATAATGGCATTTCTGAACTTAAAATCCAAACACATGATCCAACTCTCATATATGTAGATTCTTTATATGGTTATTCATATATATTAACTTTCCAATTCTCTTTTGAATCTATCAAACCAATAATAGTATCATTTTAAATGACACTTAAATATGGTGATTTCCCACTATATTTTTTAGCACATGCAATATATACAATCTCATCTTCATAAACAAAATTATCTGATCTACCTCTTTATAATTTTAATGATGGATCAAAATTGAAAAAACAACATTCATCAGGATTCTCAGTTAATTAAAGACTATTAAATTTAATTCATATGTTACAATAAATTGTTATTATCATCCTAATATAAAGTAAGGAATTTAAGTGAGTTTATGTGTAATAACATAAAATTACTACTTGCAAAACATATTGAAGAATTATAACTTTTCTAAATTACTCCCAAATTAAATTAATATTCTGATTCTAGTTTATTCCACATCTCTTATATTGCTTCTCTTCTCTTTTCCAGTTCTAATATAATTAACTATTAATACTATTTTCATTATTATCAATTAATTTCTTTCGCCATTCTTAAATCACATTTGCTTAATGTTCAAATGATTGAATACTAGAAAAAGGAAGTACCATGAATAAGCTGAAAGAAAAATCATAATAATCCTATACTTTAATTTTCATAAGTTACCACTCCACAAATAGATTCAAAACTCTTTAGTTTCACACTCTTATCCATGAATCCATCACTGAACATGAAACTATTTAGATTGCTCTCCGTTGATAAATATATTACAGATCCATAAGTAACAGGTTGTAACAACTGTTCTTCCATTAATAATATAATTATTATATAATTTTTTTCAATTTATCTTATTCTAATCTTTGAATACTCTACTATACCATTTTTAATTTTGTATTTTAATAAATCATTCTATTAAAATACATTTAGATTTATTTATGATAATCAATAAAAATGTAATTTTTTATGTTTTTTTTGTTTATTTTTTTTAATAACTTAAAACCTATATAAGTTTATTTTGAAACAATTAAATTATTACCTATTTATTTTTTTAAAGTACTTATTATTTATGTAATAATCTAATAAACAACCTAATCAAATTACACCTACTCAAGAAATTCCAGTAAAAGTTAAGAGAGCTGCAAAACAATTATAAAGATGGTTCAAATGTAAATAGGATGTCAAAGCTTATTAAAAACTTAAAAAGAATCATAGATATAGAAAGAATGTGATTTTAGAAATTTATAACACAGAAAAACAATATGTTAATGATATAAAAATATTAAGTGAAAAAGTATTGGTAGTTGCTTAATAATATATCAATTAAGAGAACATTAAAACTATTTTTATGAATTGCAATTAAATATCATAATGGAATTAAGAATTTCTAAAAGCATTAGAATTAGGATTTTAAGGATATATTGGGAATGCTAAAGACATGTATAAACCATATTGGGTAATGAATAGTATTTATATTTAGATTGTTTTTGAAGCAAATACAAAACAGTTGATGAATGTGAGATGTAAAGGATTTAGATGTTACTTTGATTATTGTAGTTAATTTAGCAAATCCAATTAGTTGATTGATAAATTAAAGTAAAGTGATTAGAAGTTTAAATAATTTTTAACTCTTATTAATCCAGAATTAAGAGGAATGGATTTATCAAGCTTTTTAGTAAAACCTGTTTAGAGATTACCTAAATATATTTTATTATTTAAAGATTTGGAAAAACACACTGAAGAGGATCATCCTGATCTAAAAAATATTAAATATTTACATAAATATTTTAGAGATATAAATGAAGAAAATAATAAATCTATTGATATTTATATTGGAAGATTATAAATTAGTGAATTATGTGATTAATTTAAACTAAATAAATCTGATTTATTATCAGATCCATAAAGAATTTATAAATTTGAAGAAAAATTGAATATTATTTAAGCAAACAAAGAATTTGTAGTTTAAGTTCACGCTTTAAGTGATATTTTAATAGTAATTCATGATAATAAACAAATTAATTAAGTCAAATTAGATTCACTATCTTTTGTTAAAGATTAACCTGATACTAAATATTTTAGCAATTTATTTTAAATTGTTGGAGTTGGAGAAGTGTTATAATGCTTTTCAGAATCTTTATCAATTAAAAAGAAAGCAATTGAATTATTTGAAAAATTGATTTAATTAAATAGAGAATAAGAATGTCAGAAAGAGTTAAAATCTGGAAAATTAATTTTTATGAGATTTCCAGTATAAGTTGTAGTTGTAGGAACAGAAGAAAGAAATTTTTAATCTTTCTAAAAACATACTTAATACATAACTTAAATTTCAATAAATAAAGTTTATTAAAATGTAAAATTTAATTTAATTGAAGTTATTTGTTAGATATAGTGAAATAGAGAATATGTATTAAAAATATTCAAAAAAGTATCCAACTATTGAATTTCCAAAATTTCCAAATTAAAGTTGGTTAACCTACTAAAAAACAAAATCAATAGAAGAACGTAAATTTGTGATAGAGGGATTTTTATAAACGTTGCTTTAGTCAAAAGAAACATAGGGAGATAACTAAATATTGAATGATTTAAGTATTTTATTAATTAATGATAGAGTTACCATTTAATTTTTTTTAATTGCCCTAAATAGTACTTGATTAATAAAAATCTATTTTTAGTAAATATAATACTAGTTTGGATGGATTAGAGGAATTGAAAATATAAGGTGTTTTAATAGATAAACTAAAAAATAGTGCAGGAGAAATTTTAAAAGCTGTATGTATAGAGAAAGAAAGCAGGAAAAAAAGCATAGCTGAAGTTTAACCTAATAGAGTAGTTATTTGGTAATAAAAATATAATACTGAGCCAAATATGAAAAGAGTAAATATTACTATGCCTGATGGAACTATTACTGAGATTGGAGTAGATGATAAAGCAAAGGTAAGTGAAGTACTTCCATTTGTAGCAGGATAAAATTAATTAGTGTATTTTAAAGATTTTCGTCTTTATTTGATTGATTAATTGAAAAAACCTAGACTACTTGACGATGATGAAGTAATTAGTAAAGCTTATGATGATGAATATTAAAATAATCATGGATGGTTAAATAAATTAGAATAAATTTTAACAGCATCTAATACAGAGTAATAATTTATTTATAAAGAAGTGTTATTATTAAGATGAGAAAATATTTATATATGCCATTATAATTAGAAGAATTTGATTATAGAGAAGATCCTATCAGATTGATATATTTGGGTTTTTCTATTTTAGAAGATGTTTATGAAGGTAAATATTATCTAGGTTTCAAAGATTATTGTTTATTTGCTGCTCTATATTATCATATAAAAGTATATATCATATTATTATTAATATCTAGTATCATGAAAGAATAGAAATTTCTCTAAATACATTGTAACTCGATAAAATTACTAAAGTTATACCTTCAGATGTGTATTCCGGAAAATCTGATTCAGAATGGAAAGATTTTACAATGGAATGCATTATTTCTTTGAATTAAGAATTAAATAGAATTAGTGTATATTTTCTATTTAATCAATATTTAGTCATTAAATAGAATAGAAAAACTTTAAAAAAAAGAAAATTCATAATCTAAATTTGCAGATAAAAGATGTTTAGCTGCTTTAGTCATTATTAATGCATCTTTAACTTTTACTTAAGGTAGTATGGCCATTTTTTAAGTTTAAACATATGAATAAACATAAATCTATTTTAAATAAATAGGAATGGAAGTACATGCTACAATGTATCTGGGGTTTTCTGCATATAAAATTTATTTTCTAAATCCATAGAAAAAAATTAAATTCAGAGAATTAGATTATAATAAAGTTAATTGGGTGATCTCATATCCTAATTAAATTATATTTAATTTTGAAAATTTTAAAGAGCCTCTTCGATTTGATACATTTTAAAGTTATGAAGTATGAATTCATAATTACTAAAGATTAAATTGCTAGTTGAATAATATAAAGACATTTATAAGTTTAACCAAGAATATAACTTAGAGAATCTCTTTCATATTGATTAATAATAATCTACTAAAGAATGATTCATCAAAATTTTATATTGAGTTATTAATTAATCATTTATAATAATTTTTATAAAGAAACTTTGGGGAAAATTTATTTGGAATTATCTATTAGACACTTTTTCCTAATTCAGGTGTTTTTGATTGCATTTTTTTAACTCTATCTTTCTTGATTTAGGAGAATTCAGAAATCAATTTATTAAGCATGGCTTAATTTGTTTCTTATTTCATAGATACTCTATTAAGATTGATCTATTTATTATTTTTAACAAATTTAAGTGCCAAAATATTAGGACTAGCAAATTTTTCAGCCGGCTCAGTTTTTCTTTATTTTGAATTAGAATTTTCCATCCATTCTTCAATTGATTATTCAGTAATTTTAAAATTTTATGTTGTTTTCTTTTCAGAATTATCAAAACACTTAACATCTTTACCAGTAGGTTGGCTTTAATTTCTTTTTTCTTTTTCAACACTTTTACAAGTTTTTTATTCTGAACTTGATCTTGTACTTTCATGATTTCTTTAATTATGAGGTTAATCCTTTTCATTTAGACAACTTAATTATTTTAAAAATATATCAAAACTATTTAATTCACCTTCATAATGAAGATAATTAATCTTATTTTCTTAAATTTCTTTCAAATATTATTATAATTTAAATAGTTTGCTACTATAACCCCCCATTATTTAATTAAAAGGAAGTGTACTCATTTAAACTATTTTATCATAATGATTTTTAATATCATTAATATAAGTTCCTAACTAATGTTCTATTTATTTAGCTTAAACTTTTAATTAGTTTGTAATTTAAATACCGGACCAGAGTGATTATGACAAGGCAAAAAGTAGTTCAGATTTACACTTTAATAAAATAAGTTTGGAAAAGTTACCATATGAAGTTATTTTTCAATATTCCCAAAGGTCTTAACAACTTTGGCATATTAGTCATTATAAAATTTTTTTAAATTTGCCTCAGTGCATAAGAAATTTGAATGGATATTGCTGATTTCACTTTATGTTTAGAGCAATTAATCTATAAAAGAGTCAGTTTATTTCTTTTTAGCATTATCTATTAAAGCTTATAAATACTATTATACCTTCTTCAATTAATTATATTTTATGTCCTTATTATGCAAATAAGACAGCACATTTTGTGCAGAGTTATTCATTTGATCCTTCAGAGTTTAGTAATATATATTTAGCCTTAATTTAATTTATGGTTACTTACTCTTTTTTAAGGATGTTGTAAACAAAATTATTAGTTGCAATTATAATGAGATTCTGAACTTTATTTGAACTTATCGCTAAAAAGATTAGTACTTTAATTAACAGGAGTGTCTAATCCATTCCAAATTTGCAAAGATGAGAGATGTATTTAATCTTCTTTTTTCATTTGAATTTTAATTAATGTTTGTTATGATAAATTATTATTCATAAATTTATAGATAAATTTTAAATTCAAATGATATATTAAAATCAAATGATATATTAAAAAGATTTTAATTCGTTCTTAGCTAAATGAAAGAATTGTCTCGTGCTTTCAAACTTATAAATTATTTTGTTTAGATAATAATTTTTTTCTGATATATAATAATTTCAAAATAATTTAAATTATTTATAAATTAATCTTCAAATA